AAACAATACATAACACTAATGACGCAAACACATTAGTTATAGACTAGTATTTCATTATAAAGATATCGAATTATTACTATAAGGGCCGATTATTCGTTTCATATTCGATATTCGACATATTCGGCAGCTCTACCGAATATCCGTTAATGCCATGTCTTTCATAATTTTACCGTTGAAAGTATATGTTATTTATGGGTTAAATCTACTTGTATAACGTTATGTTTTTGAGGCTCTGTAGATTTATTTCTAATTATAGCAAATAGAAAGCTTGACAAAATGTTAATGATAAAATGATAAAATTGTTTTTGGAATCAAACAAAGAAACATAACATTACATTAGTAAATTTCACTTTACTTTAGTCGTCAGTTTCTCTAAAATAAGTCCAAATATAGTACGTAAGGGTAATATGGTCATCCGGTTAATATGGTCACTTCCTTATAACTCAAAAACTACAGTCTTGTTTGCATAGATGGCTTTGTGATACAATAATTTTCATCAGTCAATCAAATAATAAAAGGTCAAAAGGACGCTGCTTTATCGAAGCTATTTCGACAGATGAGATGACATTATATTAAATACTTTAGTAGATTTTAGTATAGTGTAGTGTAGCTAGTTTTTTTTTTGTAGATTTTTCGAAGTGTTCGTAATCGTATACGACTTTGTTTTTGTCTTTGTCCTCCTCTTAGTTTTGGTTTTATAGGGCGGCAAAGCTTAAGGTGACTGTATTACCCCCACGTACCTTGTAGATCTCCTGCCACCCATTTTATCATATAATTATCAATTTTCACTAAGAATAACACAATGAAATACTTATTTTCTCACAAAAATAGTCAAAACAACATCATAGCATGTGCCGGCAATTTGCTCAGTACTACATAATGCAATAGCATGTCAGGTATTGCGGGGGAGCGAGGGGCAGGGTCCGGCGCTAATCCTGCGCGCTTTATGGTAACAAGTTTCTACTAGATATGAGCCGAATATGGATTTTACCGTATACGAATATTCGGCCGAACATCTGTGCAAATAGCCGGCACGTGCTCATGTTTTGACTATTTTTGTAAGAAAAAACTATTTCGTTGTGGTATTCTTAGAGAAAATTGATAATTATATGATAATAATGAGTGACTTATTTTAGAGAGACTTATGACCAAAGTAAAGTAAAATGTAATGTTTCTTTGTTTGATACCTAAACATTTTATCAAGCGTTATATTTGCTGTAATTGGAAATAAATCGACAGTGCCTAAAAACTTAACGCTCTACATAGATTTAACCCATAAATAAAATATACTTTCAAAAGTAAAATTATGAAAGACATGGCATTACTCAATTCGTCCATTTCAATACAGTGGACACCTTGAGTAGCACTTTAACGAATGTTCAGTGATTTAGCCGAATATTCGGCCGAATACGAATATTCGGTAAAGATGCCGAATACCGAATATGAAACGAATATTCGGTCCATTTCTAGTTTCTACATAAACTGGTTAGGTACCGAGGCGATCCTGCCGAATAATGTTCGGCTAATATTCGGTACGGTAAAAAAATTACCAAACTTTCGGCCGAATATTCGTATTCGGTGAAATCCGTATTCGGCTCATCTCAAATTATTACTCTATATGATAAAACAAAAAATTATAAATATGAAGTAACCATTACCATTAAATTGGGTAAATAGTAAGTACCTACGTATTAGAGTCTAAATACGTTTTATCGCATATATTATTTAGTAGATGTATATTTGAAAGTTTAGTAAGTACATTTAAAGGTTATAGTACGCAATAAACGAGCACACGGTCCACCTGATGGTAAGTGGATGCGGTAGCCCATAGACATCTACATTTATCGTCGATTAGGAACCAAAATGCAGATGCTGTTGTTATTGTCACCCCTGAGGACTAAGATGGAATGCCTCGTTTCCAGTAAAAAAGGGATCTCTACACTCACCATACGAAACACGACAGTATCACGCTGTTAGAGCGTGGTCTTTTCCCGGTCCTGCTGACCCATTCGTGCTACAACCATAATATAGTTACAGCGTGGCTCTACCACGTATACGTATGTATAAAGTAGCCATTGTGTAGGTAAATAACAGCTGTTTAATCTCTTTATATTAAAATCAGTCGTTGTTCGTTAGTCTCGCTAAAACTCTCGACAGATTTAGGTGAAAATTTTTGTGTTATTTGAATAGGTCCCCAGATGATTTAAAAATTTGTTGAGATTTTTGCTCCCGATAGGCGGCGCTGTTGCCGAGATCCAGAAATCACTCGTGTGAAGCCGGGCTGATCGCTAGTTCCTAATAAAATATTAATTTATTATTTTTTATTAAAATTAAAAGCAAAAAGATCTATCCCCATACAGCTTAGTCTGACATGTATTTTGCTGACAAAATTATTTACAAATGCTCGTGCGTCACATTGCGAAATTTTTGGGAGATTTTGGTAGTGGTTTATACCAGCCTTAGACTATTTAAAAATGGTCTAAGATTCCAGCGGACGACGATAGTATCTCAAGGCAGATAAAAAAAACTTTAGATTTGTATCACTATCAAATCATTTGTCACATAGTTTCGACTAATTGTTTACATGCGTAGACATAAAATATGCTAAATATACATATCTTTCTGAAATTTAATTAATTAAACTTTGGATGATAAACAATGCTTGTATGTTAATCATTTTGGAGTTTTCATACTTCTTATTATGATTATTAACGCTCAAATATGCATTAAAATTAGTGTTAAAATACGGATGTTTCCGGGCCTTTAACATTCAAATAAATCTTATTTTACTATTCTATTTACATACGAGCCAAGATGACGACAGGGTTAGTCGATATATTTTAATTTTTTAAAGGAACCTACCTATATTACCAAAAGGTGGATTAATCACCCTCCACGTTAGTATGGAGAAATGATCGACTAACCCCGCCTTAAGCTGGAATCCAGCCCAATATCCTAAATTTTATTGGTAATTTAATATTAATTTTTATTTAATGTTTAATGACTTTCGGAAAAAATAGTGACTTAATCGTTTAGGGATATATGTATAGCCTTTTTTGGAAGGATTCTAGCCTGAAATCAAGCTAGCAACCTCCCCTCGAAAACACCATTATTGTTTGCCGTTGAGATGTAATTTGTATTTTAAGATTTAGTGACCTATTGGTGAATTTCATTTACCGAGATTGAAAGTTTTTTTTTAATTTTTAATTCTTAAATTTAAAATTTAAAATTGGATATACGAAAAAATAGTGTATAATTGTAAATCTAATATACCTACTTATTAATAATTTTTTCAACCGATTCCAAATAAGAGAGGAGGTCTTCAATTCGACTTTATTTTTATGTGTGTTACCTCTGAATTTATTTATAAGTGAACCTATTTTGATTATTCTTTTTTTTAATTGAAAACTGGTGCTTCTCATGTGATCTCATATAAATTTGATCAAGACCTAACCAGTACTTTTTGAGTTATCCTTAATAATGCGTATTAATACTTCCGGCTACATTGATGATGTTCTTATTTTATTTAAATTGAAGTCGGTTGTACAAAATTTTTAATTTTACCATTTATTTTCTTCAAGCAGAGCCATTTCCGTAAAAGTAGATCGATCTACGTTTTAAGTTAAATCTACATTAATTTCGTCTGAATTTTGGTTATTTTGTTATAAACCTTTAGTTATAACGATTTAATGTGCATGTAATTCACAATTAAAAGAAGTTATTAAGGCCCGTAGGTGACGTAAGATGTGTCAATGGGGTAAGCCAAGAGATCTTATTGAGGTCTTTGAAGACATTTCCCATTATTGCTTCATATTACTCCTATGGCCTATGGTACCTACGACATTGGGTCATAGATTATCTAGTGGCTTAAGACGCTATAATACATCTACATGACACGACATATTAAACCGAGCCAAGCTATCTTATTATTCATAATGTCGCATCTTTTTATAAATCTAGATATTTTTATCATTACAATGGTGTGTTTCAGCTTTCGTTATTAGTAAAAGGTAAGTAAATTTATTTTAATAGTTAGCAAACTGATTCTGAAAGTCAGCTAATTTACATCAATCCACTGGTCATTTAAAAAAAATGCTACATAATTATCTTTTGTCATTTATTAATACCTCGTATCTTCGTAGTTAAATGCTACATTTTTATAATATCAAAACTTTGTGTGTAGCACTATAAATAACTTTTCCGCTGCGGTCTCTCTGATAAATCAAATTGATTTTTCAAAAATAACAATTACCAATCAGTCACTAAATCTTGACACACATTTCACAGCGAAAGACCTGAGTAGGCGTTTTGGAGTTATTGTATGATTTATAATCTTCAAGTCAGAATAATCCATAACCATTTATTTATTCTGTGCTAGCGATCCGTCCTGGTTTCGCACGGGAGATTTTTATATCTCGGCAACAATGCTCCCCAACGGGTCCAATTGAGGTTTTAAATCATCCGGGTCCCTGGATCACACTCAAATACATAAAAAATACATCAAAATCATTCGAGCCATTTTCGAGTTTTAGCGAGACTAACGGACAGCTATTGATTTTTATACAATAAGAAGAATCCGCCGGGGCGACGGGGCGGTTAAAACACAGCGATTTATATACTCTTTGCCGGCCGTCAAATACCCACCAATTACAAAAAAAAAGTATTTTTCAATTTTGTTTAGCGGTACAATATAGGTATAAGTAGGTACCATAGATTTTACATTGACATTTGACATAATATTTCATTTATCATTACTTTATTTTATAGGTTATACAGAATCAAAACAACATATTTTGACCAATAGAAATACGTAAATGGTTGACAGCGTGGCGAGACATTGTTGCTGATTGGTTATTGTGAAGAGCGCTGTGGCGCCCCTCCGACCTTATAAATAACAGTGCGAACACGCACTAGACCTCTTTTCCACAGTATTAATTCGAGGGGATATTATCGGGTTATTTTTGTGAGCTAACTCCAAATTCAGAATGCCGGAGACGAAAATGAATGGATATGCAAAAACAAACGGTCACAGTTATGATATGGAAGATGGATCAGTGTTTTTATTTACATCAGAATCTGTTGGCGAGGGACATCCAGGTTAGTTTCTCATTACTTCAGGACTTGTGCGAGATATCAAAACGAAAGATGGCCGCCTCAAACATGTGCGCAAATATAATTTGAATCTTAAGCTTTGTTTTTGTTTTGATGTTTTATGTGTACAAGAGAACAGAAATTTTTCATAGTATTTACATCACGCCGGAGCATAATACGACTAATGCATAACCACAATGCCAATATTATGTTACATCATTGTAAAAGAACTTCACGTTTTAGATAATTGATATGAATTGTCAATAGAAATGTGACCACGTGTTGTGAAGAGTAATTTTATTTTTTCTAAGAATTCTGATTAACACATATGATTAACTTAGTGATATTATTTTTTCAGATAAAATGTGTGATCAAATAAGTGACGCAGTTCTCGATGCGCATTTAATACAAGATCCTGATGCAAAGGTGGCATGTGGTGAGTGTGAATACCACACAGTAACCAAGAGTATACCTGTTACTTAGCTCCTATGATACTTAAAAATTTTGTAAACATTAACAGAAACTGTCACTAAGACGGGGATGGTCCTTCTGTGTGGTGAAATTACATCAAAAGCTAACGTTGACTATCAAAAAGGTTGTAAGAGAAACGGTGAAGCATATTGGTTATGATGATTCTTCTAAAGGTAAGAAAAAATATAATTTAATGATAGACATGTCGCTAGTTAGTGACAAAACAATCTGTTTATTGGCTATCTGCCAGATACTCATTTGAGATTTTATATTGTATACTTATAATATACTATGGCCTCTATGAGATTATACACTTAGTAATTGTTTTGTGAACAAGGTTTTGATTGGCGTACACTAAACTTGTTAGTGGCTATTGAAGAGCAAAGCCCAGACATAGCAGATGGGGTTTATCGAAACAGAGAGGAAATAGATTTTGGGGCTGGAGATCAGGTACAAAATTCTATTAGAGCCTGCTGCACGAAGAAATGGGTTTAGACTTAAAAAAAATTTGGGTACACCAAGGGTTCAAATTTCAGTTTTTTTGGCGTATTATATTTTGCATGGTCATTATTGGTTTTAAAATTATATACATTTTCATTCTTTGGGTGATATACAAGCCATTGTGGAGACCAAATTAGTACTAATTTCTCACAGTCTACGATAAATCGTTAATAAATCTTAAGTGTAAGGTTGTTTAGTTGTCTAGTAATAAGGTTGTTCAGAAACATAACAATAACAAGCATGTTGGGACCAGGCTTTGACTACAAGACTTGCAGTGTGATGCTTGCTCTGGATCAGCAGTCACCTAACATTGCAGCAGGAGTACATGAGAACAGAAGCGAGGAGGATGTTGGGGCTGGTGACCAGGTAGGCTTGTTTATAACTAGTATAGAATCAATTCGCCAAAATTCAAACATTTCTATTAGGTATTTACCTATGAAATGGCCTTTTTTATGGGAAAATTGAAATGATTTTTATTTACAAAAGTAAAAACTTTAACAAATCGGAATATTTACCTTAACTATTTACTGCTTCTTTGAGTTAAAATTTTCAACCTGTCTGTTGGGGCAAGGTCTGTAGAATATGGTGGTTGAAGAAGGTTCTCTAGCTAAAGCTGTTAATTTGTCAACATCTATTGTGTCATATGTAGCCTGCTTTGTCATGAAGAAGCAATTGCAAAGAGAGTAGTTTACCAATCTGGGTTGTTTGCTACTCTATCACCATTTCCAATTCATGACAATAACGGTTATCAGTAACAATGGCACCAGATGTCAAGAAGCTGTAGAAAATAACACTAAAGGTACAATTCCGTAGCCGACTGCAGACAGCAGCAGCAAGCAACGTGTCGTCACAACACTACTGGTTTCTATGTAGTTCTATGAAATATGTTCCATAGCAAGCGACACTTCTCACAGCTACCTTATTTATATAACCGATTTTCCGCAAATGATCTTACATCAAAAGCCATTCCTGACACTGCCATAATTTGAGATGGATCCGCTTCTACTACCAGCCTCGCTTCTCCAGGAGAGACCACAAGATTCATGCAGTATAATGCTGATGTGTATTATATGTGTATTATTATGGTGATGTGTATTATAATGGTGATTGTAGGGAACCAGAGCTCCTTTTTACTTTTAATGAGGCATTCCATCTTAGTCCCCAGGTTTCATAATGCAATAGCATTATTATTCTTTATTGATAATAGATGTCGCTATCAATGGGCCACAGTATCCACTTACAATCATGTGACATTTCACAAAAGCGGTTGCTGTGCCCTCACTTCTATAAAAAATACCGTAAATACAAGTTTCCTATATAAGATTTTTATTAATTTGTTGACATAGTAGTTTTGATAATATATAAAACTATGATTATCAGCCTCATAAATATATTTGGGAATGTCTTAGAATCAATACATTTTAATTACAATAGAATAATTTTTACGTTAATTATTAATTGCCGTGCAGTGGAGGCATAAGAATGTTCACTACCCCTTATCATTTCATGGGTGTCGTAAATGGCGACGGAGCGAAAAAGTAAGGTGATAGGCAGCAGCATCCTCCTGATGACAATTTAAAAAAATGTGGTCTCTAACCCGCCTCCCACAACTGGCAACTATGGCAAATAATTACCCCTATGAGGCTAGCTGCATCTACGAGGGAGATATGTTCAGCAGTATTAAACGTGGCTGAGCCATGCTGCAGCTATATTACTGGTATAGTTGTAGCAGTCGGCTCGACCAGCGTAAAATAGCAGCTTAACACTGCTGTGTTTCGTATGGTGGAGTACAGAGAACCGGAGACCCTTTTTATTGGAAACAAGGCAATCCATCTTAGTCCTCACTGGTGACAATGCATCTGCATTTTGATTTGTAATCGAGAATCGATGTAGATGTCTATGGGCCGCTGTAACCACTTACCATCAGGTGGACTGTGCCCGTTTGTCACACTTATCCTATAAAAAAAGCAGTGGATTTTGTCACAGTGTATTGAATTAATGAATGAACAAGATTCATTTTGACAGAAATATTCCTTAAAAGTGAAATTCTCACCTTCAAACTGCAAACACTTACATGTTTACTCATTCAACATGTCATTTACAGAAAGCATTGGGCTAATATTTAATTCATGACCATTAGTGCATTACTGCCTCATTAATTATTAGTTGCTAATCAGTATTTACATTATTAAGTGTTGTTAATAGGTCTTATTTTCGAATTTACTATATAATGAAAAATGATAATTTTATTTTTTAGGGATTGATGTTTGGATACGCTACTGATGAAACCGAAGAATGTATGCCTCTCACTGTAGTGCTTGCTCACAAACTCAATCAAAAAATTGCTGAACTTAGGCGAAATGGTGAATTTTGGTGGGCTCGACCAGATTCTAAGTCACAGGTAAATAATCATAAAGCTAATGAAACAATCATTTTAATTTATATTATTTATGTGTATCTCTGAATGTCATCAGTATTTTTAATAGTTTAACCCTTTACCGCATACCGTGACAAATATGGAACACTTAACTTTTGTTGTAATATATTACTGTCTGCAGCGTCTATAATATTTTCTCGGAACTAATTCGTACTAGAGAGTGTAACTCACCTAAATATGTAACAGTGGCGCCTCTTTAGAGACGCCTAGGAACTAAAATCGACTGTTTCGTCAGTCGGTTGCCAAAATTTGACAGGTCGACAGTTAGCAGATTTTCAATACGATTTTTTATTGTTTTTTTCTTAATATCTGAGGATTAATTGTGATTTACCGGATAGAACAATGGACCCACAGGCTTTTTACGGCAAAAGAAGTAAGTTTAAGTCATAATATGTATTGAATATTATCATTTTAAAATTGTTCCCAATTTGGAACACCATGCAATTGTTACGTTTTTTGTAGTGCCAAATATGGAACATTATGCACTCCAGTCAATATTTTAACAGTTCCAAATTTGGAACATTATGCAGTGTTAGACCAAGATATATATTATATATCTATAGTTTTAGGTCAATTTTTTAACAAATTTTTGTATTGAATATGAAACCGTCAATAACTTACAAGTTCAGAATTCGGAACATTATGCTGCATAAGATCTTTTTATACTTGCAGTTTAATACTATACCCTGCAGCTAATGTAATTTTTAAGTAGGACAAGTAAAAGTAGCACAGTTTTAGATGTCCCGCCCTGAATATGTATTATATATAGTTATGTTTATACGTGATTATCTTTAAATTTGCTTAATTACTTTAATTGTAGATAAAATAGAGATGCGTCCTCGACGAACAATCGTCGTAATTCCAGAGAGCAGCGAGGATGAAAATGTATCAGATGATGAGACTTACAGTACTCAAAATCCTTTACATATAAATGAAGAAAAAGAAAAGTCTTCCTCGGACGGAGAAGATGAAGAAGAAGATGAAGAAGAAGATGAAGAAGGAAAAGAGGAACTGGACCAGCTATTTCCTGAGTGCACTGAAGAGCATATGGAAACGTTAGAAAATTTTACAGACAATCAACCTTCTACTTCACAGGCAGCTTCTTCAAGTAAGAAAGAAAAGAAAGATAAGTGGGTGTGGTCGGATGACAATCTTCAGTATGATGAATCCAATATTGCTTTTTTGGGATCTGAAAATCTTCCAGATGAAATAATGCAGCTAAATACTCCAATGGAGTTTTTCAAATTTCTTTTTCCGTCATCTGCTGTAAATTTAATTGAGGAAGAAAGCAACGTATACGCAGCACAAATTTTCCCCGAAAAGTTGAATTCAGTGACACATAAAGACATTTATAAATTTATTGGTATTATTATCTACATGTCGGTAGTACACCTGCCAACTACTCGTCATTACTGGAAGGAGGGCACATATGTTGAAAAAGTTGCAAATGTTATGACGTGCAATAAATTCGAAGAGATTAAAAGATTTCTGCATTTTTTCGACAAAACAAAAGAACTAAAACCATATGACCCGCAGTTTGATAGACTTCAGAAAATACGCCCACTTATGAAAATCCTACGCGAAAGACTGCTAAAAGTGCCGAAAGAGGAATTTTTGTCCATTGACGAACAGATGATCCCTACTAAGGCCCGAACTTCAGGAATCAGACAGTACTATGCAAAGAAACCCCATAAGTGGGGTTATTTGAATTACGTATTAAGCGGAGTCAGTGGATTTAGTTACGACTTTGAATTATTCGGAGGAAAATACCCAGCACCGCCTGAAAACTGTCCCGATCTTGGAGTGCCAGGAAATGTGGTTCAAAGACTATTGAAGACTGTCTCGGACAATTTGAACCATAAGATTTTTGTCGATAACTGGTACACAAGTTTGCAGCTAATGGCAAACTTGCACAAAAAAGGTATTCTGCCATTAGGCACAGTACAACTGAGAAGAGCTCCAAATATAAATATAAATAAAAAAGCTTTAGAAAAGAAAGAACGAGGTTATTGCTCCGAAAAAAGTGTTGCTGTTGATAACGTTAAGCTATCAGTTACCAGTTGGGTCGACAATAAAGCAGTCAGTTTGTGTTCATCCTATGTAGGCAAGGAACCAATGGGAGTTGTGAAAAGATATTCCAAAAACATAAGCGTAGAGTTGATGTTTCTTGCCCAAAAGCAGTATCAATTTATAATAAATACATGGGCGGTGTCGATTTACTAGATGCCATGTTAGGCTTCTATAGGATCAAAATCCGCAGTAAAAAATGGTACCACCGCCTGTTCTTCCATTTCATTGATCTCTGTTGCGTGAATAGTTGGCTATTATGGCGGAGAGTCATGAAACAAAAGGGTGAAGATATTTACATTCCATTGCTTGACTTTAAATTAACCATAGCAGATGTATTGATGCACAAAGACTCAAAGGTATATACTCCGACTACACGCAAACGAGGACGACCACTGAATCAAGATGTTGAGGCAATTAAAAAGGGGCAATCAAGGCGACGCATAGAACTGCCTCCAATGGAAGTAGCTGGAGACGGGTTCAACCACTGGCCGAATTGGAAAACTGATCGCCAAAGGTGTAAAATGGTAGGATGCACGCAGAAATCCCAAGTGATGTGCGAAAAGTGTGGGTGTTATCTTTGTTTTAACAAAGATCGCAACTGTTTTAAAAACTTTCACACATAATTTTTTTAAATTAAATACTTATTCATAGCTTCACTTTGTTTCTTTTATTTTTATAAAATTCTATTTCAATTATACATAATTAGACCACACCGCATGTTGTACCAAATATGGAACGTCTATGTTATAGAACTAGAACGCACGGTGTTCCATATTTGGAACAATTACTTTTACCTATTTATCTTTTTTTAATGGTGTTCTATATTTATTTAAATATTTTTTTGGGGTGCTATATATACCCTATAGTGACATATATTTTTTCCAAAGGATTTAAAAAATTCATGCGGTAAAGGGTTAAATTAAACATTAACATAATATTTTTCAAAGTTGTAAAAGAAAACAAACAAGTTGCTGCAACTATATAAATTTAATTTGTTGCAAAAAAATTGAAGATGCGTTTTTGATTAAATTAATTGGAAAATATTCTATAATACTATACAATATTGTGCCACAAATTCTTGAGACAGTGATATGATAATAGATTTTCAGTAGGAGTAAGTTTTTTTTTTGGTTTCAGGTTACTTGTGAATATGTATTTGCTGGTGGTGCAACAGTGCCCCAAAGAGTACACACAGTTGTTGTTTCTCTGCAACATTCTGAAAAGGTAATAATTCTTTGTAAAAACTTCCAAATAAACAATATATATTTAGATATATTTTTATTATTCATATATTACAAATAGTATGAAATTTGTGTTAAATTATTATTATATTAAGTCTAAATAAGGTATTACCAGGTTTCAAATAAATTTTTTGTTATAATATTAGATATTGCATAAGAAGCCATTATTCAATTCGATTATAATATATTAACATCCTTATTACAATTATTGAGCTTTTCCATCAAGAAATTCTTAGTAGCTGCTCAGTCAGGAAGTTAGCAGTGTTTCACCCACGTGTCGAAAACTACGTAAAGCTGTTGGTTGGATCGGATTATAAGAGTGAGGGAATAGAGAGTGCACCTGTGTTTGTGCATACACTTGGGCTCTATAGTCCTGTCCTGCGCCGATGACTAGTCTCCATTTAGTATATATATATATTTAATAATTATTATTATTAAAATAAAAGAAAGTTTTGAAGTGAACACTTCATCAAAATCGTTTGGATTTGAAACTATGAAATGAAAACACTAAAAAAGAGAACATGTACATCTATAGAATTTAGCCTGCGATAGGTTATTACATTAAGTTGGTTGTGTTAAGGCCATTTAGTGTCTATTTTACTTACCAACTTGAGAGTCAATCAAATTTTGTTCGATAAAATGACTACCTATAGAATGAAGTGGATGGCGCTATTACAAAGCAAATTTACTACTAAAATTTCTCTACATTTCTAAAAATAAGGATTTTTCTTGTATCTTATATTTTATGCTACACTTGGGGTTGAAAATTATAATATAATTTAATTTGAAGGATTCACTTCTACTACATGTGAACCTACATACAGGTTTTTTTTTACTTTTTTATGTTGTCTCATCTACCTTTTTTTCATCAAATTGGTAATTAATTTTTGCCCAGGTAACTTTGGAGACACTTCGTGAAGAAATAAGAGAAAAAGTGATTAAGGAAGTGATCCCTGCACAGTACTTTGATGACAGAACAATTGTTCATATCAATCCGTCTGGACTTTTCATAATTGGTGGACCTCAGGTGAGCTTTGAAACATTTATTTTCTTTATTCAAACTAAGGTACATTACTATAGAAGTTATCTCGCCAAACAGTTCGTCGGCGAGTACACACTCTTAAAAACTATATAATATAACTAGCTGATACCTGCTCGCTTCGCTGGGTGAATAAAAGTAAAAAAAGAGCCTACAAACGTCCCGCTCCTGGGCACAGGCCTCCTCTCATTTCTGAGAGGGTAAGGCCTAGGAATTGTTCGCCGCGCTATCTCAATGCGTGTTGGCGAATTTTAAACGTCTTCGAAATGTTTTTTTTCTTATTTCTCAGACATGCAGGTTTCCTCACGATGTTTTTTTCACCGGCGAGCACGTGTTAAATCAGTACTTAAAATTGCAATTAAAAATTTCATTGATGTCTGCGGGAATCGAAACCGGTTTGCTCGTGTACTGTCAAATTGACAGCGAGCGCTAACCATCTGAGCTACCATGGTTCACGCAATAAAATAATTATCATATTATAATAAAAAATTAACAGTCGTCAGGTGAATAATATTTTATTGCGAAACCTAGATGTTAAATGTCAAGAATTTTTTTTTCTTGATGAGACTATCTTAAAATCGTGTCTACATCGCGAAATGAGTAACTACATATACTAAATTTAAAGTTAATCGGGTGTATAGTTTTAGAGATATTGACATGAGTCAGTAAGTCAGTTGTATTTTGCTCTATATACAGGGTGTTAGTGTTAACACCGTTATCCTTGAAACCAGTGGTTTGGTTTCACTTATAGAACGTAAATTCAATGAAAAATAACATTTTTTTTTGCTTTGCCTGTCCTAAGCCAGGATGAAAGTATGAAGGAAAAGTTACATCACAGATTATGTGTACCTATTATGTTTTTATTGTAATGTTGTGTAGGTGGCTAGCGCGGGCGATGATCTTTACAGTGATTACGTCACTCGGGCACATAGGGTATCCATGAATTTACGGACGGTGTCGGACACAAACTTTTTAAATGTTGTGAAAGAAAATAGCGTTTTTTTTTAATTCGGATAAATATTTTATATTAAAGCCAACTACTTATGGTTTTAGTGACAACGGTGTTTACACTTACATTTTGTATAGATTATGCACCATTATGCACCATCACCTACATCATCATCATCATTATAGCCCTTTACAAGTCCACTGCTTACATAAGCCTCTCCCGAGGTATGCCACAAAGTAAGCAAGTCACTATGTAGCTCGAACAAAAATCTGTCAGCAATAAATTAAAATTTGTAAAAAAAAAATACACAAGCACCTACACTTCTAAGTTTTACTGTAAAAAAAATAACGGGTTGCACTCCAGGAGTGCCGGCAGAAGTGAAAACCTGAATATTAACGTTGTGCATTTTTGATATTTTGGAATGGTTAGGGAATAATTTTGCACGAATTGCTTTAATTAATTATCAGTATAAAAGTACATAAATTATGTGGTAGAATACAATATTTATTTATTGCGCTATCGTACACAAACATGACAATTTATATTACATTAAAAAGTTTATCTCTCAGAAAAATCAACTTCCATTCATAATTTACGACTTTTTAACCATCATTATTACAAGAACCATCATCGCCAATCTCTAAAACTGATACGATCGGTTTGAATATTCTTCAGTTATAAATTGGAAAGCAATGTTGGATCTGACAACGTTGAATATGAAGGGATTAAATGGATTATTCCATGGATGCGCGTGGAACGTTGTAACATAAACGAACATTCGCGCAAGCGCCCTGCGCCGCCTAAACGAAACAGCAGGTGCAGGCATACATTTTCGCCGCGCCGTAGAAAGATAGGGGGATACTTCCTCTCCTACGCCGGACCGGCTGTCTACTCTCCATCCGTCATACGAATTTTCGATCAGGTCACGTGTCCTGGCGCGAGTTTAACATTTTTTACCCATTACAAAAAAAGTGTACAACGCCGCTAAAGAAGTTTTCGTCTTACGAATTTTCGATCAGGTCACGTGTCCTGACGCGAGTTTTACATTTTTTACCCGTTATAAAAAAAGTGTACAACGCCGCTAAAGAAGTTTTCACTTAAAAAAAACTAATAAATTTTAAGTGACTTATCAAGATTATATTATATATAAAAACACCCTGTCCGGTCTGAAAGGGGCACATAGTTACTGCAATGATTTACCCGAAAATTTAAAACATCATGTTTTTAACGAAAATAATAATATAGTATTGTAATTTCTATTATTTTTTTCTAAAACTAAGAAAATATAAAAATTCAGGAATTTTTTACAATCTGCAAACATGGTCATTGGTATTCGAAGTGATTGCAGTTATGCAGCGATTGCGTGTTTTTAATCACTGTTTTTAAAGAACGAACGGTAAACTTATAAGTGAATGAGACCTAGAGACAAAATGTGGTCACTAGATATCGTTACCCGACGGCCGCCTGTGCTGCATGTATTGCCATGTTAATTTAATTTCAATTTATTTTTAATTTATTTATTCTATGAATTATTATTTTTGTGTTCCTTACATGAACAGAATTATATCACTATACCTAAAACACCGAATCTTTCTTCTTTTACGAACTGGAAAGCTTTTTTTTAATATTTTGTATATGTACGCATTTAATAGGCTACATATTGCTGTAGTCCCGCAAAATTCACGTGTAGTAGAGGATAATAGATTTAATAACTTTTTTATGGAAACCAAAAACAACATGTATTAAGAAAGAATAACTAACAGCCGTTAAACACGTAGAATTTTTATAAAACCAATTTTATAGCTCATAATATGATTTTAATTTGAAATTCCCGGAAATGCGAAAAATAATCTATCAAATTATTTGCAATTTCACAGGTGAGGATCTAAAACTTTACATCTGACAAATGCTACCACTCTTTCAGAGTAATCTTGTAAATAAATATCACTCAGGCTATCCTTTATTATAGATAAAAGTTGTGTGTTGTTCACACGCTTAAGATTTTAAAATACATTTTTATATCGTTCTATTTAATATATCATAACGATGAATAGATACCTAGTAATTATTTTAATGCCTGGATAGTTATCATATTTTGTGAGTGTTATTCGACACAACTTTAACAGTTGTTAACTGCATATCACGCTATTCACTCAAGGACTAGCTGCATTGCATTTATTTGCCTGACGAGCTGGCCTGCATCGAGGTATTCGGCGTTGTCGCGCTAAATATAGCGTGCTATATTTACAGTAGTGGTAGTTACTACGTAGTAGAGACGAGGGCTTAAAATTTCTCTCTCGCTCGCTGCTTTCACAATATACGCGAGCAACCGGGGTTCTATCCTCATCGTCACAAATTGTTAATTGCAATTTTAAATGCTAATTTAGGAAAACATCTTGAAGAAACCTGCATGTCTGAGGGATAAAATATTTTGAGGGCGTGCGAAGTTTGCCTACATGCCTGCACCAGAGCAGAATAAAAATAGGACTTATTTTCTAAATAAAAAATTGCCTAGATTTAACTGACAGGCAGCTCAAAAGGACCAATTATTTGACCGTTTAAAATTCCTTCCTCATTAAATTAGGGTTCTCTACATGCCATTCATGCAGGTTATGCATGTTCATGTAGCCGTCCTTTTTGGAAGTTGACTCATCAGACTATAAAATTTTCGTTAAGAAAAGCAGGTCATGCCTGTTCCTCTCCAATATCATTCTAGAAAAATTCACTCGATTTAGGTAGGCCCCGGGTTGTATTGTAATGTCTGTACTCGCTGTACGTGGTATGGGTGTAATTCGTGTTTTTGTAAGATAGACTACTACTACTACTACTACTAGTAGACTGTACTTTTGGGCACTCAGGTGGGCCAGCAACAGCCATTACTGAAGTACTCGGATCTTCTTCGACAGCTTGTAGCACGTTGTCTTCCATCGGGTTAGTGGGTCTTCCTCCACCATGCTCTTAATTTGGGAGGCGGCCCTCTGAGAAGAATAAACGATGGACATTCGTAAACACTCGATGATCGGGGTAACAAGCAGCGTTTGGGTACCTTTCACGGTAAAGTCTGGCAGCAGCACTGGCATTACACTTGGATAATTTATGAATTAGATGCATATTAGCGTATTCGCGATTGGTATACGCAGACATCTTGGCACTACGCAGTCACACGATAGTCCAGGGGAAAGCAAAGGTCGTTGTTAAGAGAAAATAAGCAGTCCGCATCCAAATCACAAGTCCATAAACGAAGCCAAATGAATACGAAAACAAACCCAGTAAACGAAGGACCGTAAAACGTAATGATTTGTGATGTGTAAGTACTATAGCAAATACCTATCGTCACTCCCTGTCTCGCTCGCACTTGGTAAGGTGACTATCTCCATCTCAGTCACTTTAGCGTCAAAACCTGTCTTGCTTACACTTCTTTAGAATGACTCCTTCACTTGAAGCTACAATTTACGACCCATTGGAAAACCTAGGGTACATTAGAATAATTTTTGTTATTACGGTCTACTACTAGAAAAAAAATACGTTTATTAAAAAATGAACAACAAAAACAAATGAGACATAGAATCATACTTTTACAGAAGTTACAGGTTAAAGTAACAGATTTTTTACTTAATATGCACCAAAATTATCATAAAGTCTAGTGTAGAGCAGCTTAAGTTTACGAATTGAAGTTAAATAATAGTTTTTTATGTTTATTAATAGAATCTATGAGTGTAAGATATATGACAAATGACAATAGAATTAAAAATATGAAAACTACTAGAAATAGATAACGTAAACTGAATAAAATACACAATAATAGGTATACCGTTACTACTTGTGCGTAGTGTGCGTGTGCGTGTGTGTGCTTGTTATAGTTGTCACGCTTGGCAGACTGGTTGGCACCCGCAGTTTATTTTTAAGTTTATATAAAGAAGACGCCCATTTGTCTCCCACTGTTGCTTCTTACGCCACTCCATCGTTCTTTGGTCTTAGTTAATAAGCATGTATTATAATAATTAGTCGTGGTTGTCGGCAGTCGGACGCGGGGCTGACGGGGCGTAAGATCATCGTGGACACGTACGGCGGGTGGGGCGCGCACGGCGGCGGCGCGTTCTCGGGCAAGGACTTCACCAAGGTGGACCGCTCGGCCGCGTACGCCGCGCGCTGGGTCGCCAAGTCGCTCGTGCGCGCCGGCCTGTGCCGCCGCTGCATGGTGCAGGTGAGCCGCGCACCTCACGCACACACACCACACACACTCCACACACACCACTACACTCCACACACCACTACACTCCATATACTGAATTTTTTACAAGGAAAAGTTTGGGCTTAATCGATTTTTCGTACTTTGTAGTATAGTAGTACTACTGCCTCTGACCCCAAAGGTGTGTAATCCGACGAATAATAAAAATGGTGAGATATAATCGTCCATAGTACATTTACTATGTTTACTATATGGGACTTCGTCCATAAAACAAATCAATACAGTCTATGACACAGAGTATATCAAGATAATAAAAAAATAAAAACAAACGGACCAATACAATATGTAGGTAGTCACTACACATACATATTCAGATCAAGTACTTCTTTGAATATAAGAAACTGGATAAGCAAATAAGTTAATTTGTAGGTAAATATTTATCAATTTTATTTTGTTTTCATTTGTCAAAACACAAGAGCCCACTGAGAAGTAAGTTTCTATGATACACTGTTCTCTTTCTTTTCTGCCCATTGCATACCCATTTCACCACCTCAAGGAAAATTGCAGATAAGTGAGATGATCGCGTTTACCTAACGTAGCCGCGTATAATGTGATAATCTTCTCAATCATGAATAGGCATATCGGATTACAGAGGCGGCCGGATAGTCTACTATTTTCTTCACTACTATACTCCTAATACTAAAGAAATGAATAGTTTATATTATATGCGTACGTTTTCTTTTTTTTTAATTTATGTTAACCGAATTCTCGTAAATGGCTGGACCAATTATTGAAGCCTGTTAAAGTCCATTGCTGAACATAGGCTTCCCCCATAGTGTCACAGGGGGGACATTTGATATAGTTGCCACACTTGGCAAGCGGGTTGGCAACGGCAGTTTTTTATAGTCATTAGGAAGACACAGCTGCTTGATTTGTTTCCCTCGGACGACACTCACTAAGGGGTACTAGGATATCCCTCATACCGCCACTACACGGTACATAGATAATAAAATATGTAGACAGTACAATCTCTAAGGGTGGAAAATTAATGTAACGAGATATTCAAGATAGTCCACACAAAGGGCAGAAAAACTAAACTACAAAATAGTAAAACAGACTTCGAAGACTACAACAAAAAATAGGTTTTAATTTTTTAAGTTAAATTATTTACTAACCAAATTATTCTTTTGCAATTAATATATTCATTACAGCATATCAAAAGTCCACCGGTGAACGAAGGTCTCTCCCGTTTTTTGCTTCATAATGGTGATATTTGCCAAAATGTTTGCCACAATCAATATGTTTGGTAGGCGAGTGGAAAAACTTGACTTTGCAATATATTCACGAAAATTAAAGAAAAAATTAATTATTAATTAAATCAATTATTATTTATTAAATTAATTTATTTAATTAATGAACAAATCTGGCAGCTTGATTATAAACAAAGACTACATACAGTGCAAATTGCGATACGATATTCAATAAAACTTTTTCTCAGTTCGTTAATTATACATAAATTGACACACACAATAAATTCATACAACGTAATATGTCCATTCATCCTTTCATAACAGTCTATAAAGTCCACAGCAGAGCCTCTCCCAAAGCTTGCCTCATTGGGAGGATTTTACCGTAGTTGGCACGCTTGGCGAGCGGGTCGGCAGCCGTAGTTGTCATCAGGAAGATGCTGCCGTACATCACCTGTTTCAGTTTTCCTCTGCCGCCTCACAGGTAGTTTCGGTGTAGTGAGGATATTCTTAAACAGTATATATTATAATTATATTGAAAAAAAAAATATGTTATTGCAAACTATTTGAAATAAAAATATTTTTTAAAAGGTTTCTGAATGGTCCTTTCCAAAAGAATTTTTTCTAAACCGGTAGTAAAAAATTGAAGATTAAATGTTTTTAAGTACCATTATTGCCTTTAATACGTAGATGTGTGTGCCAGTTTGGATTGTTCCCTTTTTAACTTGTGTTTTTGTTATATTCAGGTTGCATACGCAATTGGTGTAGCCGAGCCATTGTCAATCACGGTTTTCGATTATGGTACATCTCACAAGACTCAGCAAGAACTTCTCGCTATTGTGCAGAAGAATTTTGATCTCCGGCCCGGCAAAATTGTTAAGTAAGTATGTTTTGTACGTATTGTTGGGAACATTTTAAAAAAGTGCTTCTTCCAAACAATTACTGCCGTAAATTAGCTATGAGTCATCTGATAGAAAATGGCTGCTGCAGTCCTAACTTAGACAGAATCTTGGGCAGAAAAGAAATCCTACCATAAATATATATTATATTTAAATAAATTTATATATTTAAATAATTATATAATTATATTGAAAAAAAAAAGTGAACTACCTTCTTGCTCTAAATAATACTAAAATGTTTGCGCTCGAAAGACAGCGAACTGCAGTGTGCAGAAAAAATCTTACATAGGTTTATGTTGCACTGTATTTATGAACTTTGTTTAGTATGTAATTTAGTTAGTTGTAAAATAAAAAAATATATAAACACTCACGCCTGTCACCCAGAGGGGTAGGCAGAGACTACGGACTTCCATTTGGCACGATCCTGACATACCTCTTTCGCCTCCTTTACATTCATATATCTACGCTTACATGCTCGTCGGTTAAGGGTACTTCTAACGTGGCCCATTTTCAAAATATCGCCAATTTAGTTGATAAAATTTTTTCTAGGGCGTCCCTTCCCGACTCGGCCGTTCACATCTGCCATATAAATTTGCTTTGTCACTCTTTCCTCATTCATTCTTTCTACATGACCAAACCACCGAAGCATTCCTTTCTTAATCCTGGTCACACATCATCTTGCGTACCACATTTATCTCTTATCACGCAATTTCTCACCCAATAAAAAAATAATTTTTTTTATTGTATTAAATTACATTTAAAAAACTTAACTAAAATTATCTAATTTGTTGCATGAAAGTTAGTAATGTTTGAAATATAATAAAAGCTAAAGTTGCTGTCCGTGCTGCCGTGAGGCACGTTATAACTTGTAGCAGTTTTATAATACGATCACATTACAGCTCATTAATGTCCACTGCTGCACGCGGGCCTCCCTCGTGCATTGCTTTATAGGAGAGATATTTGGCACAGCCAGCACGCTTTTTTATTTTTAGTCGTTCATGCCGCCTATCACCTGATTTATTTCCCTCTGTCGACTTACGACACCGACGGGATAATGTGGTATAGTATATGTTCTTATGTAGCAGTGGGTATTCTATCCATCACACGACGGTAGGTAGTGGCGGTGTAAGAATCAGTTTTATAATAAATAATTTTCTACTTTCAGAGAGCTCAATCTTAAAGCGCCGATATATCAAAAAACCAGTACTTATGGACACTTCGGTCGAGAAGGATTCCCATGGGAGAACCCGAAACCACTTATTGTGGATTGACTTCAGAAGCAAACCTTAGAATATTGTAAATATTTCACCAGTATATTTTAAACACTTAATCTACGTGTGTTTTGTAGCGAGAGCACGGAGATATTATCGCTGATGTCTCTCTATAGGCTATTATTAATTAATGCGACTTAATTTCGCGAATGAAACTGCCAGTTGTTGAAAGCGGTTGGGCCGACGGTTGCATTTGCGTGATTCAGTGTATGTAATTGTTAAGTATTCATTAGTTTAGATGCATAGGCGTAACAGGTGCCGTCATTTCTGAATTTGAGTTAGTTCAGGGGTTCCAATGGGCAGTTCTACCATTTGAGACACTGGTTGTCAGTTGATTGTAAGTCTCGTTTTGTTTTATATCAAATCATGGGTGATTTTAACATTAAATGTATGAATTCACTAATGTTATATACTTTGAACTCTGCCTTTTGGCGAATGAAGTTGGCGACTTGAATGATGAACTGCCAATTATCTCGAATGTTCTTCACTGTGAGCTTTATGGTAAGTGCTATAATATAATATAATATCCCGGTAGAGTAGACTACTTCCCTGGTCGCGTCACAATGGAACGAGTGCGGTAAAGAAACAGTTTCTCGATCATACTAGTTCCACTGCAAACATAGTGCTGCATGGTGAGGCAATCACCTTATAGGTTTATTAAGTTTTTAGATAAGTGTCAGTGAATTTGCCCTATAGTAAAGAAAAGTTAGCCAATTTTAGGCGTCGCCTCCCGTGCAGTTACATTTTGTGTTGTGTTTCTGAAAAGGATCGTAGTGGAAAAGAGCCATTTTGAAAACACACCGATTCGGCCAGAGCAGTAGTGCACTGTGCATTTAACGATGCCGCCACAGGCTTAGTGGACTGGCTGGTCCCATAGTAACCTTGCGGCCCGCGTGTATAATAATGGTAGGCGCGGCTTAAAACCGCTAATATCTGACCAGCCGCTGATAGCTGATACTGTATAACAGTTTTCGTATCGCTTGTACATTTGTCAATATGAAAGTTAATGATTCAACTAACTTTATTTAACATTTGTCTCGTATTCTCGTCGTCGTGACAATGTGTCTTTCAATCCCTTGAGAGAGGAAGCGCTGGCGACTCGCATGTAGTTTGTCAATGATCGCACACGTGGCCCGCAAGCGTGACTATATCAGTCATACTAGACATTTTTTGACATTATAACTAAACTTAGAAATTTGACTATACGTAGGGCGGGTAGCGAGTATTTGTGATTATATTTTTTGATCTGTTTCGATTCGACCCGTTATAAATTTCTAATTAACTTGCTGTGGATTTTGAATTTGTCAAAATGTGAAACTTCGACTCATAAATAAAATTGCATTCCCGTCCCATCGGGGATTAAGTGTTTTGTTTTTTCTTTAATCCTTCTTAATTTATCATTATAATTAAAATTATCTCGATTATAAATTTAAAATGCAACATGAGTTTGAGAGACTACTTACTTTCCCGAAGCTATTCAATATTAAAAATTATGACATCTAGATATTTACCTGTTTTTTAGATATATGATGTAATTATCAGAATGGCAAAGTTTTCCGTTTTCTTCACAAAATAAACAATCCAATTGCTCATTTATGACATATTACTATGACACAGGAAAAGGGTAAAAATACTTTTTTATTATTCAGTTTTTTTTTTTTAATTTTATTAATATGCCTGATTATCATAAATTTCGAGTTATCATAGTATCAATTTGATATCAGCAAAAACATAAGTTGATTTTCATTTTCGTCAAAAAAGTAAATTATAATTATACAAAATAATTGCCGCTCTATTAATATCCCAAGCTATTAAGGCTGCGCCTTCGGAAACTATTATGGAGTAGTTACGAAGAGCATAATATTATAATCTGTGTTTTAAGGGTACACTAGTCGCTTATTCTTCCATACAAACGTAGTCTGGCGATTACTCTACTGTTTGATGGTGTACGTTCAAAATAAAAAATGATTTCAATTTGTCTCATCATTGTCTAGCCCTGTATGGAAACAAAAAGGTAAAAAAAGAGTATGTTTAGAAGTTATAAGCGTCGAAAATTCCGAATTTCAACACTAGTTTTAACAAATAAATACCATAGGAAGAACGAAAATTGCAAAACAGTTACCATACAGAGATAGATTAGTTGTTCAAAAATGAAAATAATTTTATTTTAAACAGATACATTCAATAGATTTTTCGTGACATCCAGACTACCAAAGGTCTGTTTATAAAATTTCGCGCGTCCTTTTTTGTTATAAAACATCTTTCCTTTCGCTACAAATTGTTTCCCCGATCAGTGGGACGGACGGAGGGGGGGGGGGGGCAGCGCGCACTCACACATGCTCACTAGGTTATCCGCTTTTGGTATACCTACATATCTATGGTTGTAATACCTACATATCTACATCTTTATTTAGAAAAATTGCTACCTTTTGTTCGTGTCCATTGCTGAAGTCGGGAAGAATGTAGCTGCTAAAATGTGCCCATAAGTTTGTTGAAGCACATTTAGTTAAAATTGAAAACAGGTAGGTAGGTACATAATAATGAACTTTCGATACAGGTAGTACATTAGGTACTTAACTACTTTAATTTGCTAACTAACGAAAACATCTCATAGATAAGCACGATTATCGAAAATCTTAAAATTATCTATTAATTTAATTAGAATAGGTAATTTTTAGATTTTCGATAATCGTGCTTACGTATAGGAATTTCATATCCTAATATACCTAATGTAATATATGTAAGTACATAATAATCTAAGAAGGGCAGTCAATGATAAATAAAATGTGTTTTGTAAGTTGTTTTTTTTAAAAACACTTTAACACAACAAAAACATGAAACTGAGAAGAAGCACCCGATCTGCCGAAACAAACTCGAGAGGTCAGTCCAGGTATTACATTGGTCATGTCATACATGAAACAGGCTAATATGGTCCTTTGAAGAAAGAATCATACAGATGTGAGTGGACAACTTAGTACTTTTTAGGATTCCGTACCCGAAGGGTAACCAGCAGGGCCCTATTACGGAGCCTCCGCTGTCCGTGTGTCTGTCTGTCAGCGGGCTGCATCTCATGATCCGTAACAGGTAGATGGTTGTAATTTTCACAGAATGTGTATTTCTGTTGCCGCTATAACAGCAAGTGGTAAAAATAAATTTGAAATTAAAGGATTTTCTACTAGAAAAAGAAACGTGTATTTTTGGCTTTTTTGATCGATAGTAATATGTATAGGTATTTAAATCTTGTAATCTCGGAAGTCCGATTCGCACTTGGCAAAATATTTGTTTATATTTAACCTTGCCTCAGACATACTCATGTTTTTTATATATAATTTACTATACTACTTTATAAGCTACTACTAAATAAAATAGTAGTAGCTTTCCTATGGTATTATCGTATATTTTGGATTAGATTTAATTTATTACAGAATAATATGAACTTTATAAAAACTAAGGAGCGCATCAACCTACCTTAGATATTGGGTTATGAATACAGATAAGTACACATAGGATTTAGTTTCTAAGTTGTATCTACATATTTTATAGCCTTCGTTATGAATAGCATAAACAGGCCAAGCCCCCTAGCCTACAAACGTTTCGTAACGAATCTTTCTACAATCGCGCCTTTTATTTGTTTGGGACTCGTTCAGTGATGCCATTCCCATACAGTGTTTAGTTTTCAACTAGCGTTATCTATTATAAAATAAATCAAAATTTTATTCATATTTCGCTAATTGTGTCTGTACTGTGAATTTGATTTACAATCGATCTCTAAATTGTAGTTTTCTTCTAATTACTTACCTTGCCTAGACGTGTTCTTTGGACTTCTGTAAGGAAGTCTGTGCTGTTAGTATTCCGTATCAAAATAGTAACGTATATACGTTACTATTTTGATAGACGTTTGTGCTTGTCCCTGCAGTGACACAATGCCTTATTGTTGATAACTTTCTAAGTACTAAGAGAATATTTCAAACCGCTATTGAACACAAACAATCAATAAACAATTTACAAACTAACATTTTTTATTTATTTAATTGACCTATATAAAAGCCATCACACTCGCATCAAAATCGCGCTGTCGAAAAAGCAGTTATCCTGACACTGGCTGACATATACTTCGGGGAGTTGCCTGCGGGCTATTATAGCTAACTAGCTATGGAAAGTAAATACCTATTTAGAATACATAGTACCTACAGTAATATTTGCATAACCTACAGTAAAATACAAAAACATAATTATGTTACACTTTTTTGTGTTTGTTTTAGAAATTGTTATTTTTTTATCAAAAAAAGTTTTTTATGTTACCGTTTTTAGTTGAGAGTTATGTCCCTTTAGTAGGTACAGGCGTGATATTATATTGTGTGATTGTGTAAAGAATGCTTAGATAGGCGATAGCAGCAATCGCGGTTGATTTGCTGTCATTTATTGAAGAGTGCCCCCGATTTCTCCAAGATCCCATCATCAGATCCTGATCTGACTATCATCGATTACCGTGGGATTATCTGGAAAATAAATCCTTTCAAACAAAAAAATAATTTTCCAAATCGGTTCAGGCTTCAGGCATCTTCGAGAAATCGGGGGACAGAACATACATGAACCAACACAAACAAACACCAACGAATTGAGAACCACCTCCTTTTTTCGAAGTCGGTTAAAAAGTAGGTAAAAACAAATCAATGAAATTATTATATAATAACAACATCTACTTAAGTTCACATAAGAACTTTCATAATAACAACTAAGTACATAAATTGGGTTCATAATAATTACGTCTCACACAGCAGATCCTAAGTTATAATAACACCAATTTGTTTTCTCTCTCCTTTCTCTTTTTAAAATACGTTACCCCCACAGTAGGATTTTCTCCAGTATCGTGGAGGCAGTTTACAAACATAAATTGCACAAGGACAAACATCCAGACCCGGAACAACTATTTGTAGGCCATACAAATATTTGTTCCGTGCGGGATTCGAACCCGCGGCGCCCAGCGCAGCCTCATTGCTAAGCCACTGCGATACGGAGCTCAAATTGTCGTTTGAGTTTGTTATTATTCAAAAATGAATCGCATAGGTAGGTACGCGATGACGCCGTCTCGCATTGCATCACTCGAGTGCGTATGTGTGTGCGCACTAGCTTCTTACTGCTCATCACAGCGTCTATCCCTTTCGCACGTGATGTCGGCTGAGATAGCATGCATTTTTACCCCGCCCACCACTTAGTTCGTGCCATCGACTAGGGCAACCTTAAGACAAATTATTACTCAGAAGTCAGAAATAATACCAACCGGAATTTTCAACAATTCGACTGGAAGTGCAAATTATGCGTTTATTTATCGATTGTGAATCAATTTTGATGATTCTTTTTTAAATGATTTATACTTCAGGGATGTTAGGTATCCTTTGAATTTGGAAAGAAAAATAGAACTGAAGTTTTTAACGTCAAAATTAAACTATGAGTAAAAAGTAAAAGCTAACTAAAAATATTAAACTAATAAAAAAATAATCATTGAAATCGGTCCACAGTTGTTGTACAGTCGAATTGAGATTCTTTTATGTGGGCTAAAAAGATACTCGAGGCGAGGACAAACAAAAGGACGACAAAGTTTGCCTGAATCTCTGGTCTGGTCTGGTCTTGCCTTTGTCTGAAGTACATTCTCATAGACTTAACATTCAACTAAAAATGCTAAGTCCATGTATAGATTACTGATTAAGAACAGTATATACGCCCTAGTGCATTCAAACTACAACTATGTAGTGGCTGATCAACTTTTTAGTAGGTTGTATAATCATGTTGTTTGATTAATGAAAAAGAAATCTGTTTTCTTTGCCTCCACGCCTATCAAGTGAATAATATGTGAACCATGATGTATTATTTTTCACTTGCAACTAAACAGTTGTTCGATCAAAAATTATATGTATAAGTAAAGAGTAAAGCTGAAAGCTCAAGTGTACAAGAGTATTATCCGATCTCCGCTCTTTAGTGATTTATGGTAGAACTGAACAGGAAATAGGTCTTAGGACTAGGAGAAAAGGATTTCTGCCCAGGAGTATGTCTGAGTAGGTACCGCTCTTACCTCTACACTGCCTACACAGTTATGTTCCGCTCTGAATGGTGCAGAGAACCAGTATAAATACAGGCTGTGTCATTCTATTTCAGCCATCAAAGGTAACACGCATCACCTTTGAGAATACCAGCGTAAATAGCAGCTTAATGCTGTGTTTCGTGTAGTGAGTGTAGAGAACCGGAGACCCCTTTTTACTGGAAATGAGGCATTCCTTGTCAATCCTTAGGGGTGCGCATGTGCATTTTAATCTTCATTGAAAATACATGTTTAAGTCTATAGGCCACAGCAATCACTTACCATCAGATGAACTGTGTGCTCGTGTGTTGTTCTTATTCTATATAAAAAACATACTGTGTAAGCCAGCTAGACTACCGGCTTTACATAGCATGTGGAAACTAGATGCCATGGTACCATTGTGACATAGTGAGGTTTGATGTTAGTCGATGGACTCACTTTCGTAGTGTCGAGGACTAAAGACCGTCAAAGCGGGGAGGGATGAGCTGGAACGCAAACTCTGGCAGTAGTCGGGTAAAAACATTGAAACTCAATTTTGTTTATTTACATACGTTTTTGATTTTATTTATAACATCGTACATAAACAAAAGTCCAGTAAAATAGCACAGCCTAAGAAGAACATACAGTCAGTCATCGCGTTTGATGTTGTCGGAAAAGCCGACATAAACAATAAATTGCTAGGGTTGTCAGAATAGGAAGTAATAAAAATATAAACGACTGATTTTTCACGTTTAAAAAAATTAAATAACTTAATCAGACAATTAGTGTATAGAAATAATACAAATAGGTTGTAGGACCCACAATTATTTACCGCACATGTAGGGTGAATCACTTTATTTGCGTGGACAGTACAGCCCTAGCGGACAGTTTCGCCCGCGTCGCTACCCGCACCTCACCTCATGATTACCCCGTCTAGACGCCTTCGCTGACAGACTGTTAGTAGTAGTTAGACTGTGCAAATAGTATGAGCACTTCTGGGAATTGTGTTAACAGAAATTAGGTGTATAATTTATGCCGATAGCCACCTTGAGACCAGTCTCCTTGCTGCTTGTTGGGCATGAGTCATTCTGATCGTATCTGTGCTTAACCAGCCCTGCATGTCGAAGCAATGTGATGCCCTAAAAGAAGAAAACATTAGGAAATGAACCAAATCTAACGTTGTTACAAATCTTTATTTCATATAGGTACGAGAATAATATTGATTAGGGGTGCCTCGATACGCCTTTTTGCCGATACGATACCGATACCGATGCTCTTATAAAAATATCGGCGATACCGATACGCTTATTGAATTCAAAAATGAATAAACCACAAGTCGGGTTATTTTTTAATTATTATGTTAAGAACCCTTTAAAACTACAGAAAGTTTGAGATTTGTTAATAATTTTAGTAATTTCAATTAACACTGATGAGATTTTTGTTTAAAAAACAAAGTATTCTTAAGTTTTGCGGAGAAAAGTGATTTCGCAAACCTGTTTGAATAAGACCTGCAGTGGAAAACAGTCTCTCAGATGTGACAGAACTCATTTGGAAACTAGAGTACTTCTGCGCCATTTTTTTCAAGTATGGGTATAGGACGTTATTGCGCTAGAAAACGAACGGATCTGCGCCTCGATTTATTAGGAGGCCTTAGGTAGAGAGATACCTTCTTCTTTGAGACAATTACAGCTCAGAGTAGACAAGGGAAACAAGACACAGCACAGCATAGTTACTCGTAGTTCGTGCCTCGTTTGCAAGGGAATAGATTTTAAAGCTAGAAATTTCAAAAGTATCTGAATCGACCATAAAAGTATCGCCGATGCCGATATATCGGCAAACTTCGAGTATCGCCGATATATCGGTATCGGATGCATTCATAATATTGATGTCATGCTTAGTAAAAATGACATTTTACTTTGCAGTAAAGTGTTATATTGAGAGGAATAGTATATAATAGAATAATATTGTGGGCTGTATTATTTACCCCGCATTCTGTTAAGAATGTTATAACGTTATTTGTAATAAATTAAATTGAGCTAAATCCTAATAAGGGCCTGCGCTCACAGATGGCACATCGTGACAAGGCATACTTTGGCATACCAATGGCAATGGCAATGGCATCCCGCGGCATGCCAAACAAGTCAAGACGCACTCGTGTACCGGGCGCTCACGCGAGTCGCTATGATTGCCGCCGCAACGGGCTAGATTCCATTGATTTATATATTACACTAGATCAGTAATAACCGCGCCAAAGCGTTACCACTGCACATATGGCCACAGCCATATGCCTAGCTAACGTCAGTTCTGTGTTCAATGTGACGCCGACAGAGTTGAGCCGCGACAAAAAATTGGTAAATGCGTAGTGAAAGAATGCTATTCAAGGTCACAAAAACGTAATAAATCAAGCGGAATCACTTTAACACAATTTTTAGTTCTTGTTTTCATATAAACGTAAAAAACCCTCAAATAATTAAATAAAATTATCGAATATTGCCATTTAGGTTCAATGTTGTCACTTTTCCGCATTTGTGATTATCCGACATTAATGGGAGACTATATAATTAATGGAGTAAGTTAATTTGTTAACTCTGATTTTAAATATTTTGGAAATTATAATAAAAACTACGTTTTAACTTTCATACAAAGTAATTAATTATTCTTATTTTAGTTTATTCATGAATTATCTATTAAATATATTTTATTACCTACTTATTTTATATTAATGATTTTATATTAATTATGATATCGTATAAATTTTATATTAATTATATTTTATTACCTAGTTTATATTGTTTGATGTATTAGTACAATAAAAATACTTATAAAAATATGTTTTAATTCATCATTATGTTCACTTCTATTCATCTGATAAGCTTTTTATCCTTTTTTCTTAGGGTACGCAGTAAAGAATTTAAAATAAAATATACTTTTTTAATATAAAGACTGCACCTTTAAAAAAAACTCATTTTTATTACGTATTTTAGGTAAAATTTCATATAGTAACCCACACCAACCCGCCATTGCATGTTTGTGTGTCTATCTTTATCTAATCTCGCTAACGCTAACGAAAATAGCGACGATATTGTTTTCGAAACTTGTGTAAGTGAGATAGATATATGTTTATTTAAAATTGTTATTAGTTTCAAAGCTACGTCGTCGCGTTTGAATAGTGGTTACACTTTTTTCTACGCGCGGTAATGTGGTTTGCTCCTCTAGTGTTGTATAACTCATTGCTAGATTTAACCTTGTTTCAATTACTTAGCACTACTCACATTCTTGTAACAACATAAAGTAACTTATGCGTTTCACGTGATGAAGCGGCGTGCCGAGGCATCCCAAAGAATGCCGTGACGTGCAGCAGCATGCCGCAGTGTCACACGAAACGTGTCGGTCTATTCGTATTGAAATAAAGGAATGTCAGTGCTAAGATCATTAAAATAGCGTCAAAAATCTTTCTACAAAAGAACCCTTTGTCATGCCATGCCGTCTGTGAGCGCAGACCTTAAATGGTGATACGTAGCTACGTCAGTGGGAAGGTATCTGTGCTGCACTCAACCAATCTCCAAGCACATGAAAAGCCTATATATATCGCCTGCAACGGAGTAAGAAAGGCCTTTGAAGAATAATGCGTAATTGTGTACTCATAAATAATAGGCATTTATCTATGACATCGCCGTTCTGCAGTACTTGCCGTTTCAAATCAAAATAATTTTTGTTTGGCTAAAAATACCAAAACCAATATACCGTCGCAGAACGCAAAGGGAATCAACGACGTTTACGAAGCGAATACTACAAACGAACGCACCACCTGGTATTGGATTGCCCGCCGCGGTTCTGAAAATTTCGACCTGAAATATGTCATCCGAAACCTTTAATAAACAATGACGAATTAAAGGCGATCGTGGAAGCTGATGATACTCCATCTAAGGTTGAATTAGCAGCAGCTTTCGAAGTTTGCATTAAAACAATAATTGTCCACTTGCGCCAAATTGGCAAGGTATAAAAGCTAGACAAATGAGTGCCCTGCGCACTCGATGATCGCCAGCACGAGTACGCGTCGAGACGTGCCTTGCACCGCTCGACAGACACACAAGCGAAGGAATTTTGAACCGCAATGTTACCAACGACGAAAAATTGATTCTATTTGACAATCGCAAGCGCTCAGTTAGTTGGTTGGATCCTGGTTCAGCACCTAAACAATGCCCTAAACAAAAATTTACACCTAGAAAAAAAAATGGTCACTGTATGGTGTTCTAGCGCCGGTGTTGATCATCACAGCTTCTTACCAGATGGGATGAGTATTACTGCAGATGTGTACTGTGAAGAACTGAACACAATGATGGAGAAGCTCGCTGGTCAATCCTGGTCCCCCCCACTTCACTTACACGTCTCCAAGTTACAAGAGCTAGGGTTGAAAACTCCGTCATCCGCCGTACTCACTAGACCTTGCGCCAACATACTTCTACTTTTTCCAGAATATGGAGAAAACTTTTTGGCGGGAAAAAAATATAATACCCGTGAGGCAGTAGAAAATGCCTTCGAAGAATTTGTTGCCTCCCGTCCAGCTGATTTCTTGAAAAAGGGCATCAATAAACTGCCACTGCGTTGGCAAAGAAGACATCTGTTTTTGCATGGGTGATTAATTTGATTAAAAGAAATAAAAATATACATTCCGTTAACATTAAGTTACGTTAAACATTGTGTTAAATTATTTTGTAAGAAAAAAAAAACGCCAATTTCATAGGTAAATACCTAATATTCCACTCAATAATTTAAGAATCAGAAGTTGTAAGGCTAGATCATAAACCAAATATACTCAAAAATTCAGGTCTTTTAAAACGCTCCAATTTGCATGTATAACTAACTTTAAACGATTTGTTAACACGCATGGCAGGCGATTTTTTAAAATAAGATAACGGTGTTATTTCTGTGCGGAGTTGACACCTTGAATTGGTAACGCAGTTTTCCATCTCTTCGTGGTTTGTGGTATTGTATTCGCCACTTTTAAAAAGAAATACCGCCATTTCATGTATCTAGTCACTAGCTCATACTCATTTCTTTTAATTATATAAACACGTTTTTGATTCCAATTGGTAATTGAAAAATTATAGATAAATCTAGAAATTTACGACAACGGTCTTCTGTTGGTACTATTATTGACAAATTTACCTAGGAATGGTGTAAGTGGGAGAGCCTTCTTTCAAATCTTCATCATAAACACCAAGTGCACGCCACGGATCGATCATTCCATGGATATTAATAGTGTTGTTCACATCGGGCTTTAAGCCGCCAAATATCAGGTTTACGCGATCCACAGCGTCGTATACAAACTTTTCATCAAACCTAAAAATTTATACGGACAAACTCGTAATTATGATAGATTATCATATACAATATTACTAAAACACGAAATATAATAACAAAATAGTTCATAATATTAAATTTATATTTAAAAAAAATTGACCATATTTTAACGTGACACCATCAAAGAGCATGAAGCGTTTGGGTAAGAAAATGCTCAAATAACGATGATGGCGCACTAATAACCACAAAATTGTATATGTAGCCTAAAATATAAAATATGTTTGTGGTGTCGTGGCGGCGCAAGATAATTCATAACTCCATTTCGTCCCATGGGCGTCCAGTCACTACGTTTAGGGGCGCCTGTGGTAAATGATAGAATCTTATGGGTATGTTCCAAAATAGAACCCAGTGTACTTTCCAATGCAAATGACTTCATGAATCGACGCTATACTGGTGATTCGTTCCAAAACATAGGACAGTATATGACGTCATACATTTGCGCCATATTGGAAAAGTGTTGGCGATTATTTTGTAATTATGTGCTCCAAAAATCATCCTCCTAATGGAGATACCAGCAATTATTCTATATTTTTTTTGTATTTGAATAAATAAAAACAAATTCTGGCCTGCTTCATTCAGCGCACACACAATTAAAAATTGTTTTATTGTGGCCAGATATCCGACTCAATATGGCGGCGGCACGCCAGTACAATATAGTGTCAATTGATGACGTCATTTGTATTCGGCAGTATACTGAAAACGTTTTCGGAACATACCCTATGGCTTCCGCAGATGGCAGTGTATAAGTATATACATATCGTTTACGCCAAAAATGAAATATTTAGTCATGGGCAAATAAAATACAGGGCAAATCTGGGCACCCTATTATGGGAGAGGCTATGTTCAGAAGAGCACCAAAGCACGCTAAGCAGACTAAGACATTTAGTTATAGTAAGTTTTAAGACTAGACGCCATCTTACATCCAATCAGATTTTACTGCAAAGGGAAATTGTATAGATTTTAATGCAAACGGAAATTGCATTATTTAGTTAAGTAAATTGATATTGCTTATTACTAAATTTGTTTTACGTATTGCAAGATATTATCATCTTTTAAATGTCTACATAAGTCCGCTGCTGATCGTAGCCCACCCCCTCTCCCCCATACACTTCATACTGTCACATGGGGATTTTACCGCAGTTGCCACGGTTAGCAGGCTGGTTGACAATCCCAATTTTTTTAATTATTTTGAGTTGTGCTGTTTGAGTGACGGTGCTTGCTGATCCCTGTTTCAGTTTCCATCTATCGTCTCTTACGACACCCGCGGGATGATATGGAAATGTGAATATTCTTACACCGGCAACAAAAAGAGTGTAGGCACCTACGTCACTCATATTTAATTTCTCTCAACTATATATAGGGTCGTTGCGCTGGTTTTCGGCCTTTTAGTGGAGTTGTCAACTTTAAGGTACTATAAAAAATAATAGCGATTATGTTGACCTAGTGTTGTTAATGTTAATTTATAGCTTATATAATGTAGTTTTCATTTTGATAACTCATTAATGCTACAAAAGAAATCTATTTTTTATAATAAAGATAAAAAAAATTTTTGATGTGAAAAATATGCAAAACGCTAGTTTTCGGCCCTAAATTTTAGATTTCGGCCTACAAGAATTTTAGTTTTCGGCCACTGTATTAGAAGAGGTACTATAAACTTAAAAGTGTTTTTGTAAAATCAGAAAATGGCAAAACGGTTTGGGAAATCTGAGTTCTAATCGGTGATTGCGATTTTTTAACCGTGACGTTATTTTTTTTCTTTTTGGGTGTGTTTTTGATATAAAATAATAACCATGATTAATTATTTCTCTTCGAATTATAATCTAATAATAAAATCTTTTAAATATAGCAATCAAATATTCTCATTTACGAGTATTTTGTACTTCCTCATAAGTATTTTAGTTTAACAAAATCTGTTACCATATCTCACCATTCTCATCTCTAACCAAGAGGAGCCATCTGAAGAAAAAAAATTTCTTTTTGAATCTTCTTCCTAAAACGCAATGTGAATAAAATATTTTATATGATAAGATGAAATGGCCGTAAACGTAAACTAAGACAGCATTCCATTTTCCGCCGCCGTATTCTTTCATACAATTTTAAGTTGGCCGAAAACTAAATTGTACATATTTTAGAGTCAATCCAGTTCTCGGCCACGACTGAAATGGGTATTTTGTTTCATCACTAACTGTTCAAATTGCAGTACTAGGTGGCCGAAAACTGAAAATTCGTGTCTACGCACGCTACGATTCAATATAAGTAAGAAAGATGAGTTATAGTACGTAACCAAATAAATGAAAGAGACAAAGTATTTAGGCTAAACTCAGGCTACTTTTCGGCCGCATGGCCGACAACCAAATAATGGGACAATTTTATGTGTCACTTTTCGGCCACTTAATTTATTAACTTTATCAATAAATTATTATAATAATCAGTGTCAAATACCTATATTAGGTTATTTATACAGTGAAATATAAGCACAATATTAAGTAATTATATTAAATACAGCACGAAAATTACTTTTGAATGGAACGCTCGCCACTATTTTTTTTTGCTCGATCTTACCCGTTTTGATACGCTTCAGTGTCGGTGTCAAACTAAACTATTTATTATAAATCGCGTGTTGTGTTTACCTGATTAATTAATGCTACCAGATATAGTGAAACTATTTACAAATGCATTAAACTGTATTTCTTACGATAGTATTTATTAAAATTGTTATTAAATCAAATTTACTGCAACAGCTCGTGCCAAAGGCCGAAATCTAGACCCGGCCGGCTTACCGGCGCATCGACCCTATATCATTTAGAATCAGAAGGAGATTTTTGAACTGTTGGTTTATAGGCGGAAAATGCTGTCATGCATACCAAAGTTATTTAACAGACTGGTGATGGGGTAGCATTATTACCACTATAAAGTCGTCAATGTGTTTGGGAAAAAGCACCCAAGTCCTAAATTCTCCGCTGGTGAATTTTCGCGTGTCCTACAAGTGACTTAGGCTATTATTAAGTGTGTAGGTATGGTTCATCTAAAGAAGTAACAAGTTTCTGACTTGTCAAGTGTCAAGTTAATAATAATTACCTCTGGTCAAAAATTTGCTTGCAAACATCAACATAAAAAGCAACATCCAACCACTTCAACTGATCGAATACTGTACCGGAGCTTGGTGCAATTTGATAGTACCCGTATTCCGTACACGTCTGGTAATACCATGCCCGAGCTGGAATAAAAAATAAATGTTTTAATTTGAGATATGAATACCTTAACATGTTCAATGGCAAACCTAATACATGAGCTTTCAATGGGTGGCCCATTATTTTTATTATTGTTTTTATTTAAGTAAGTACAACAGTCCATTTTCAAGAGGCACCTAAGAAATTCACTTGACAAAACTGTTGACTTGTAAAATATTAGTGTTTTACGCGTCGTTGTTGTCGTGACGAGCCAAATTGAATAGCAGAGTGGAAACGCGATGTCGCGTGATTCACAATGAACGTTTTGAAGCTCTGAATACTCTGAAGCAAAATACATAGTTCATATTAGTTCATCATCAACCGGTAGACAATCTGCTGCTGCCTTTAGTAGGAAGGTTCCAAAAGCAGGAACCACTGCACTCCTTCTACGGACTGATCAACTACCAAACTCCTCGCATATTTAAAAGTAATCCCCATCTCTTGTGCAAGTGGACTGGTAGCAACTGGATTTATGAAGTCGAAGACTAGGTTAAGTGGGAAGCTAGCTGTGTAGTGGTAGCGTAAGAAAACCCACTACCCTATATCATCCTGTGAGTATCCTAAGAGGCGACAGACGGAAACAGAAACAGGAGATGGCATCGGCACCAGCATCTCCCAGTGCCCATCTCCTGTCATCTCATAACACCAGGCAGAGCAGAGATGTATGTCCAGAAACGGACTGTCGCAACTTAAATAAGTGTAATAGTATGGGTCGGTTCGACCGTGCGAGGACTACGTTTGCACAGTATATACCAACGTGACATAGTAGCGTATTTCTGTGTATCCACTTACAATTTGATCTCGTAGCATTGTAAGCGTTGAGAAAAGCTTCGTAACTAGCCGACCAACACGAATTTCCCAAGTTACGGATCGCTGCAATGTAACCGCCGATTTTCTGCATTGGAGTCACTCCTGTGAAAAATGTTAACGCATCGTTGTCTCAACTTTTATAGCAGATGGTGTAAAAGTAAACTTTTTCTCCAAAAGCCAACATCACTTGCATACGGAGTATCTTATGCAAGTGGCGTTTGACAGTAACTGCCTGTCGTGTCTGTGACGATGGACTTGGTGGAAAATCCAACATTTTAACAAACCGTTGGTGAAGTAGATAAGTACCATTAGGTTATCTTTGTCTTTGCACTTGTTAGTCCAGCCGCCGGTCAGACCACGAGCTATTTATCCACCAAAGGTCAATGATTCTTATTAAGTATATGTTTATTTGATATAAAACAATGTATAAAGAAAAGAAGATATATTACATACCTATTTTGATGAAAATATAAAAACTCGGTAACTGGGCTACAATACAGTACCAAAAATAAGCTATACCTACGATAAATCTAATAATATATATATATATCTATACATATAAACACTCACGCCTGTCACCCAGAGGGGTAGGCAGAGACTACAGACTTCCATTTGGCACGATCCTGACACACCTCTTTCGCCTCCTTCACATCCATAATTACCTACGCATACATGCTCGTCGGTTAAGGGTACTCCTAATTTGGCCCGTTTTCAATAAATCGCCAATTTGGTCGATGAATTTTCGCCTAGGACGTCCCTTTCCGACTCTGCCATTCACTTTTGCAACATAAATTTTCTTTGTCACTCTTTCCTCATTCATTCTTTCCACATGACCAAACCACCGAATCATTCCTTTCTTTATCCTGATCACAACATCATCTTGCAAACCACACTCTTCTCTTATCACACAATTTCTCACCCTGTCATTCAGATTCAGCCCTAACATACTCCTTAACCGCATTTCTAATGCGTTCATTCTACTCTCGTGCTTCTTAATAATCTAATAAGTGTAGCTAAATTTTCTCAAAAGCTCAAGAATCAACAGCTGTGCTTGGGTCACACCACAGTAGAGAGGAGTCACCGTAATCGTCACGTTGGCGTTGACGAATTGGCGATCGTCTTAACAGACTGCACCCCGTTGCCGGTCTGGATATTTCACTTACATTTTCTATAAATAGAATAAATTATACCACCTATCGAAGGTTAAGGGAGGCCTATATTTAGCTGTGGATTTATAGGCTGTAATGATGATGATCGAAAGCTACAATATCTTTATGCGTTTTTTCAAGTGGTCCTTTAGGCATGATACAAGTAGTGTTCCATTGCAATGAATGTGTGAAGGATTTAACGCAATTTTATTAACACACGTTACATTATTATTTTCAGCCTACGAATGTGTCGCACTTCCTTCTTTTACATGTGGCAATTTTCTGCAATACTATACCATTATTCATTAAAGCGGTAATCAAAGTCATCAATCTATTTGAAGAGATAAACACCAAAGACATTTGGTCTTTTTTATCAGCATGTTCTTTACATTGCTGGATGTGAACTGGACTCCCCCATTATCTTTATTCTGTATACATCATGTAAGGTAAAATAGCTTAAGTTACCCGAGGCATTACAAATAAAGAGTACTTAAAACTAATTAACATTGACCCATTCCCTTCTTACAAGATCCATGGAATATTTTTTTTACTTCACCACCACGCAACCTGCTTATGTAACATAATACATAGTTTCACGGTATAGTACGTCATGTCCTCAGATGAAGTAAAAACTTTTTTTACTTCATCTGAGGTCATGTCATATTATTTTAAGATTTTACGAACGGTAAAAGAGCTTAAATTACCTGAGGCATTATAAATAAAATGCAAAACTAATTGAAAGATACAGATTAGTCTTCAAACAAACTAGACTTGTAGGGTTGCCTTACTATAAGTGGCGAAATTTTATTCCAAAAAAAAAAAAGATTTGTTCTCAAAGGGTTAGTAAATTGTAAATATATATATATTATATCCGACGTTAGGCTACGTGGCTCTTACAGCTTCATCTGACTCAAGACCTTCCAGGCCGCGAGCTGATTGCTATTGGAGAACTATCTCTTCCCCATATAGGTATATAGCTCAATCGTCAGGCTTTGCGAGCGGATTGACGATCGAAATATCAGATTATGAATATTTTATCTATCTACGTCCAAACTGGCATCATATCATATCGTCACATCCGTAAATATTAAAGAATTGGTACATGATTGATAATAATAATAACCCCTAAGAAGTAGTTTTAGCAGTAACTTGACCGCCGAGGGACCGCTGCTCATTTATTATTATTTCAATAATGGTTTGAAGTAAATTTTGATAAGTAAAAGTGGTGTAAAATTTTATTTATTAAATATATGCATATCATGTGAACTGTTGGCGGTAATGATGATACAATTGCTTCGACGGTGATGTGAACCTCAGGTAACTGACTCTGTTCAGGCACCTTGAGACACTACCGTCATTGACTGTCTGTTTGCTTAAGCTGCCGTCAAAACCTCAAAAAAAGTTTTTGAACAAATTTTTATAAAGGATACTTTCATAATATTTGACCATGACAAAAGTACAATCGTATGAGTCCATCCATTACCAAGGATAGAAAAACCCTCTGAGAAGGAAGTAATCGCTACCATGTTGTTTCTTTGTTTTCATATTTATTTGTACAAATATTTATATATTGTAAATAACGGTTAAAAAATTTGTTGTTTCTTCCCAGGACATTAGTTTTTTGCGAATAAATGGTAATTTTTTTTTATATAGAATAAGCGTGACAAACGAGCACACAGTCCACCTGATGGTAAGCGGATGCTGTGGCCCACAGACATCTACATCTATCCTCGATTAAGAATCAAAACATAGAATTTGTTGTCACCCCTGAGGGCTACGATGGAATGCCTCGTTTCCAGTAAAAAAGGGTCTCCGGATCTCTATACTCACCATACGAAACACAGCAGCATTAAGCTACTATTTTACGCTGGTATTCTGTGAGAGCGTGGTCCTTCCCCGGTCGAGCCGACCTATTCATGCTATAACCATAATGTAGCTGCAGTAGGGCTCTACCACGTAAAATTATATAGTATTCTAATAAACCAAATGAAAATGAAAACTATTATTTTCTATTGTGTTATCCGAAATCACGAGACTATTCTAGTATTGCCCACAGTCACATCTTACGACACTCAAGAAGTGAAATAGGGAGATGTATTTTCTTACGACATAATTACTGATTTATTAAGTCTTAAATAACATTATCATTGAATAATTTAATCGAAGTGCTTTTTTTTAAAGAATAAGGGTAACAAACGAGCAAACAGTTTACCTCATGGAAAGTGGATCTTGTGGCCTGACCTATATTACCTCGTTACTCATTTATCCTCGATTAAGTATCAAACTGCAAATGCGTTGTCACCCCTGAGGTCTATACGATGGAATGCCTCGTTGCCCTGCCTCGGTCGACCCATTCGTGCAATTAAGGGTAAATTGTGCGATTTCTATACCATGAGGACTACTGGAACTAAAAATGTTGACAACTTTTGTAAAAACAAAGATGGGTAGTTTCTGGTACTTTAGCGTTGATTGTTACCGTAGGCATCAGTGGCGAAGTTGTTACAGATGTTCAGCAGGGTGCCTGGGCGCGCTTGCTGCACCGATGTAGAAAATGTCCACGTGATGAGACCGGAGAAATAGCCCAGATCGAAATGGTTGTCGTAGTTCAACGGTGAACATAGCCTACAATTGAAAAAATTAAATAAGAGCTATTGTGTTTAGTCACAGATTAGATTTAGTGTACATATTTACATTATTTATGTGACATATTGAATTACAATTAAAAAAGTCACTGAATTGAATCTTAATATGAAAGTAAACCTAATTGCACCCATCATTCATTTATTTACATTACTGAATATATGCCACTATCTACCGGGGAGGCCCCAGTAGATTGTGGCATAGTTGAACGCTTGGAAGACAGGTTAACTACGCAGTTTTTATTATTCTAGATTGTTATCAGGAAGATCTTTTGACTTCTGTCTTCGACAGAACAGACAGAAGCCTATGTCTTGCTTGAATTTTCTTTATCGCCTCTTTTGATAGTGGATATTCTTATGTTGGTACTAGGTAACGCTCACACCCACACTCATTTTATTCGTATTTTAATTGTAAACATTTCACCTGTAAGCTTCTTCTAATGATCTCCGTCCTACTTCCGTCTGCATAGCTGCGATTGTATCCGTTATACCCTGCCTTATAGTTGATATACATTGCTCGCCTCCTTCTGATAAAAATGCTTCATGAACTACCTCCAAATATCCTACATAAAAAGAAACCAATTATTATTTAAATTTAAAAATTTATCATTTAAATCTATTCTACATAATGATTGTTTTTAGCTTGGACATAGAGACTCTTCTGTATAATTCAGCGGTATTGCTTTAATCGTCAGACTGGGCTTTTGCACTGATTGACAATCTGGTATCTTGGCAAGGTGGTATCTCTCATCTTTGACGCCTCTCAGTCACTGGTTTGGCAAATAATCTATGACTGACAAATAACCAGTAGGCCAATAGATTTACCTAGCATTTCTCGTAGATGTCAATTATACACCCATAGCACCCTGCCATCGCATGGCGATTTTCTTAACCCTTGAATGCATGATTTTTAATTTTTTATTAAAAAAATAAAATGTTGTAGTAATGTTCATACATGTAATGCTGGGAAAAACATTAAAAAAAAATAATTCTTATATTTAATACCTAAATTGTCAAAAAAAAAAACACTGTTGCAATTTTACAACATCATGCATTTATTATACATAGTAGGTACATATTAATAGTGGAAATTCCTAAAGCATTTTTTAGCTTTTGAAATACATAAAGCTACTTCACACTTTTCACACTTAGGTTGTGTGTATCCTGCATAACCAGGCATTTTGCACCTACTATGAACGCAGTCACCAGGCCAGTGACCAACATTATCAGTCCTGATATCCTTATCTGGAACGCACTGAGTTGGACCCCGTTTTTTTTTTGCCTGAATGTCCTCCTCAATATTGCTACTAGTGCTGGGTCTTCCTCTTATTACAGAGCTCAGATTCATTACCAACTTTGCCAAATACCTCTGCCAGTTCGAGCCGATATTGACATAAATTCAAAATCGATGGATTTGCTTCAGTCATTTTCAATTCTTTGTATGTCAACCATGAATTTATTACAGTCATATCCAGTAGGTGGTAAAGGATACGAAGATACAATTTTCGACTTCTCATAGAAATTCGATATCTTCCTATGAAGCTATCCATAAGATCAACTCTGCCCATATGAGCATTATACTCTTTGATTATGTAAGGGCAATTAATCTTGATTTTTTCTTTTTTTGCTTTATCAAACCTGTCCACTTGGGTTACAGGTTCTGCTCCAACATATATAGACAGCAAAGTGACAGCTTTATTATCCTTCCAGCAAATAGCTGTCAAATGCCTTGAAAAGTGGTCACCTGCTCTTCATAGGTCCCCCGAGGAACAGATTTTTCATTAGGGCCTTTTTGTCTGGCAATTTACAGTTGACAAGCCTATTAGATTGGACAGTGCCCAGAGTGTATATCCCTTGTTTTGCAAGATGGGTAACTAAGGGCACAGGGGTATACAAGTTATCAAAGTATATTATGTGATTAATGTTTACTGGGACCTCTCTGGTTAGTATGATCACATTTCCTACAGGCCCAAAATCAGGTTCATCTGGAAGCCGCTTATATTCTTCACCTGTGTATATTTCAAATTTATGAGCATAGCCTGCTGTACTGCACATAATAAATAGGTTGAACCCCCACTTGTGGGGCTTGTTGGGCAAGTATTGCTTCATAAAGTGTGCTACTTTTGAAGCACACATTTGCTCATCAATTGTCAAGTGTTGTTGCATAAGAACTGATGCAAATTTCTCATTTAAGTAGTTGACTATAGGCCTTATCTTGTGTATTCAATCATGGTGTGTGTGTTCCCTGAAATAAAATAGAGTAGGTAAATAAAAGTCATTAAATGTAATACATAGAATGATATTATTCATTGATAATTTAGTCATTACCTGGGCAAATGTTTTTCATTATCATTGAAGTGAATAAATCTGCAAATAGTCTCAAATCGATTGACAGTCATTAATTTCTTTATTGGTTCAAAACCCACTTTATTTGACCAATAAAGATGAATGTTGAATATTTTATAACTGACATATATATCAATACTGATATAAACTTTCGTAGTTCTGCTACAGACAGATTCAATGGTTTTTGAACATTTTTTAGACTCTTCGACAATCTTTTGGAATATTTCAGAAGTGAAAAAAATATATATGGAGTGTTACCAGCTGCTTGATCCCTCAGTTCTTTGGGGTATGTAGTATTTCCACAAAAAGTAATTTGGTCAGGATTAAAAACCATTTTTTTAACTTTCCATACAAGTCCCTTCATTGTTGCCCTTCGAATAGCTTGAGTTGTTGGGGGAAAGGCAACCTGAGGATCTTGTTCTCTTTCAGAGGTGGCTGACGGATCTTCTGTCACGGGTGGATCATCATCAATGTCATCATTCTCCTCATCTACAGGGCTCTGAAATTCACAGAGTAAATCTTCTCTGTTCGGGTAAAAATCTTCATCTTCTTGATCTGAAGCCTCAAGGTCATCTTCAAATCTGGCTCCATCATTAATTTGGTCCAAATAGCTTTCAATTTCCTTATCAAACAAGGGGTTAATCTGAAAAACATCAAAAAGTCGTAAACATAGTTGCAGTAAATGCATACTGTTGTAGATTAGCAACAGCAAAAAAATTATTAACAAAATACTAACAAAATAGAGATATTTCTCAAAACTAATAAGTCAATTCGGAAATAAACATATTATTTTCTAGTAAAATATTTTTTTCACATGCTTACCGCGAAAATTCACGTTATCCACTACGAAATAAAACACTGCGATATTTGAAATTGCGAGATTCTCCAAAACAACAATCTGATTGTGAAATATCAAGTTGACAGTCAATGACATCAAATAATAATGTTGCCACCAAAAAGAAAATATTATACAGTTTCTGATAAAAGTACAACGACATGTATTGAGCAAATGTTCTTATTTATATAGTTGATGGAACAGTATGTTGCAGTTTTGCTACAACATGCATTTAATAGGTAAAAATAAATTCGTCTAAAATGGTTAATTTTATAATATCTTCTTCTTTTTTTTGAATCTCTTTCGAAGTGAAAACTACTTTAGAATCGTTTTAATTTGAAATTTAAAGAAACGAAAAAGCAACACTTAAAAGAGACAAACATATAGGTACATATATCTATAAGATAAATCCTAAGGTCTAAAGCCTGCGAGAGAATGAGATAGAATAGAGTGAAGTGTTTTTCTAAAAGTTTCACTTCTACCACGTGTGAGCTGCACACATTTTTTTAATACGCATCGTAAGCTGACTCCATATCTTCTTCACCCTGCTTTTGAGTGACTGAGCAAGACGCGTGTAGAAAATTGTCTCTACGCAATTCCAATAAAAGTTGTAAATCTAAAAAAAATACACTCGAATAACAGTAAATCTGAGAGAATTTTTATATAAATTACCTGCAAAGTCAACTTTTCCTTTAATAGGTCCGCTGGAAGCTACAACTCCCTCAACCAAATGAGGGTATCGCTGTTTGAACCATAGCACCATATTGGCCGCGTAGGATCCACCGTAAAGGATGATTTTGCTATTGGTAAATCTTGGCTGTTTTTTCAGTTCTAGAATGAAATACGCAAGATCTGCCAGGGCCTGGTCCACATTCAAGAATCGTAGGTTTTGAGCTGTGAACTCCCTAAAATTAAAATAAAGCTCAAATAAATTCTTATACAATTTTAATTATTAAATAAGCAAATAAAAGTGTGTCGGTATTTTAATTTTATTGTGTAAGTTTTTTGGTCTAATTATCAATCATTTATACTAGCTGTTCTCAAGGACTTTTTCGCGTGGAATTTGTTACAATCAGATTTCATAGGATTTAATTTTTTTTCGCGGAATCCTAATTTTTTCGAAAATAAAAGAGGCCTAAGTTACTTATTATAAGATCAGCTATCTGCCTGTGAAAGTCTCGTCAAAATCAGTCCAGCTGTTTCAGAGATCAGCCGGAATAAACATACAGACAGGCACACAAAAATTTAAAAAAATATGTTTCCCTTATAATTACCGCATATACTTTCATATTATGCATTTAGTAACGAGCAGTGGCGGATTATCCTAGGCACGTGCTTAGGGGCGTACGGTTAAAAAGAGGCGTGCGAGTAGGTTTTTAAATGAAAAAAAGCAATTCGTTTGTTTATTAGTGATTTACTCCTACATCGCCCTCACTTTCATACCACATTTTTCATTCATGTCCACCTGTAAAAAATGCTCGTTTCCTAACTATTTTTCAACTATATAAATTATAATATACATCATGAACAAATTTGTCAACAAATCAAAATATCATGGATATTTGTTTTTTAGTTAGAAGTTTATTAATACGGATTTTGCTAATTCGTAAATTTTAATATTGCAAACGCCGAAAAACCACAACATCAAATGACAAAAATTTACCAAATTTAGAGAAAAATGTTTGCTGGAAAGATACATTTTTGTACATAACATTTTATTTATATATGGTATAAATGATTAGGAAATGCCTCTAGCTTTTCGAACTGCTTCTAGTCTTCTTGGCATACATTAGGAGCCTCTAGTGGGGGTCCTCTAGGGTCGCCACACACTTCGCCTACCGGTACGAGGCTGCCACGATCTATATGGCCGGTCCATTGCCAATCCAGCTTACGAATCCGTTAATCATTATGATTCATTAAATTCACGCGAACACTACACAATGAATAAAACTATATTTATGGATTTTATCGCGTTTAATAATTTATTATAAATTATTTTTTATTACATAATATTAGATAGAGTCCCTCCCGTGACCATTGGTGCGACAAAGCACCCGAAACATCAGGAATTAAAAATAAATTATTAAACGCGATTAAATCCGTAAATATAGTTTTATTCAACCGCTAAACATTGCTGCACATTGCATTAAGTTTAAATACACCATTTTACTAAGTGGTAGCATTTTTTCTGTCTAAGACTAGGAGTCCGTGTGCGTACGTTCCACACTTACCTATTCTTGCCGTCAAATAGCAGTGCTTACCCTACTGTCGTCTATCGTCGTCTATTTTCTGGATGTTATCGCTGTTAGTCAACGCGACTCTTACAGTCTAATCTGACTCAGCCAGCACTCAGCTCGAGCCCCTAATTAAAAATTAAAAAAGGGAAAGGCAATGACGTGAGGATGATGATGAAATGGTTTATGGTTTGGTATTGTTACCAATCATCATGTCGCCTTTTAGACGTTTTTGAGCTATCTAACCGCTGTCCGAGGGGGGGGGAGTGCGGACCCACGTCTCTGACTGCTCAGCTCGTGTCGGTTGATGCTCTGGGCGGTTCTCGCCGCCCAGGTACGCGGGTGTACGGTGTGTACGCGGTGTGTGCTGGAACGCGTCGTGCCCGTCTACGGGTGCGGGTGCGGGTGAACTTACTGATACGGTAGTGTTTCTCCATAGTAGCGATGTTCAGTATATATCATGTAGCCGCGGTTTTCTTCAGCCATTAGGTACATGTTACCAGCTAGCAGCCAGCCCGCTACAATAGTCCATTCTCCGCCTACCAGTATAAAAATAGGGTAGCCATCTCCACCGAAGAACTGTTCGTTGAACATAAATCGCTGAAAGTATTAAGCAATAAAATGTATTCGTGATTTAGCTTAAAATTGTGCAAGGCGCTATTGAGTAGGTATACTCGTAAATTAATAGCTTATTGATTTGTTTTTTTTTGCATTCGATTTTAAATCGGGTAAAAGAACATGTAAAAAAGTAGATATGTCTATTTTACTCACGAATTCGTTACTCAAAAAAAAAACAACATTTTAAAATGCTTTGGTGACAATCCCTACTCTGCACGGCTGTTGAAGCATTGAAAATTCTAGTACCTATATAATATAATAATATACAATAATCTACGTTTATTTACATGCGTGACGTGGCTATTGACATTGGCAGTAAGAACTTAAACGTTTTATTTTATTTAATGTATTTGTTACATACTATACATAAATTTTAGCTTTTCCTTTTATATAAATATCATACAATCTTTATAATAAATAATCACATAATCTCTCATACAAATTTTAAAACTCTCCTGGGGACGCACAATATAATTTAAAATGAGTACACATTTTTCATTATATAGATGACGCCGTGTACATTATACGTACGTACGTAGTACATTATAATTATAACGCAATGGCCGTTCAGTACCTAGTGGCACGAGAGAATACACTATCCCACATCATCCCGCAGGGCATAAGAGGGAAATGAAGAAGGCGATGGGCAGCAGCATATCCAGAATCAATTCGAAACATTAAAAAACTGAGGTGGTAACTACGGCAAAAATCCCGATGAGGCAGACAGGGGAGAGGCTAATGTTCGACAGTGAAAATTTTTCAAAAAAAAAATTGCGTAATAATTATTGCATATGCTGTCTCGTGTTCCGTTTTGAAGAGTATGAACTCTTTGAATATTAAACCAGTTGGTTGAATACTCAAAGACCAGTATAAATAAAGGCTGTGAGGCATTTTTTGCCTCAGAGTTATAAACGCATCTGTAAATTATATGCATTGTTTACAAATGTCTGTGGGCTCCAGTAGCTGGTAAGTTTAACACTATGGTTTATAAATAAAAATGTAAAGAGTTCCCGGGTTAAGATTACCATTCTAAACAAACCATTTGAAAGGTATCACGATTCTGCGGATCAAAGTGATCAATGGGCATTGTCACCCAGCTTTGAAACACATTCCGGGCACTCAGGTTACGTGTTGACTCGGGCGGCTGTAAGTCGATTCTAATCGGTGGCTCCACAACACGTGGTTCTCCCCATGATAGCGCCAGTACCCACGCAAACACCAAAACAAATATCTGAAACTTGAGATAAACTTATTTAATACGTACTGCACTTTAAACGTAGGGTGGATAGGACATTATAATCAAAATACACGGCATGACGGCAGTGTGTCAGTCATGTTCTGAAAGGAAAACTGCGATACATCGGCATATTTACTGTAATAATTTCGAGCCCCTCCATAACTTAAAAACGATTATAATACATATATATAATTACAGAATAACTAGTATTAATTACAGAAACAGAAACAGAACAATACTAGAATACAGAAACAGAAGTATTAAATACAGAATTAACTAGTATTAATGACAATAAAAAAATCCGTGTTAATACAAAACGCAGTTTATTGAAAGTCTCGGTTTAAACTATGGTATAAAAGATTTTTTCAAGAAATAAGTTCCTTAGCTGTGGAGTTACAAGCTTAGCGAAATCTGAAATTTGCTGCTAAAACCCATACTTTACACATTTTAGTACGTATATTTTCCGCGGGATTCCTTTATTGAAACGGAATTTAAAGTGGATTAGAGATACTAATTAAGACTGCTTTTTGTAGCAAGATGGAGAGAGTTACGTACGAGTCAGTATGCGTGATCATCACAAAATATACAAACCCGAAGAACACTCAAAAGTCGAATTAACTGCTATATCATTTAATAAAATAACAAAAAAATATTTACCTACCGTCCAAAACACTATGTAATAGGTGTATATAAATAAAAATTACTAAATATATATAATAAGGAATAAAAATATACTTACCATTTCAAATAACGAATTACAAGTTTCAAATTGGACTCGCGTTTGATTATTCACTAAAATAATAAGCCGATTGTTTATCTCGATTAAAGTTGATAAATAAACGAAACTGAGATAAGTTTCACGGTAATGATAATACATTACATATTTCTTTTTCATTTTTACGGGTTCGTAACTATTGTGACTGATTCGAAGCACTCACAGAAATCTAAATAATTTAGATTTCTGTGGAAGCACTATATATCTAATACTCTTCTATTAACCTCAGTATTTACAAGTGGCCCCATGGTAGAAATCGGGTCAAGAAATACCCCATATATATATATATATATATATATATATATATATATATATATATATATATATATATATATATATATATATATATATATATATTAAGAGGGCCTTAAGTCAGTGTAATACACTTTCTGCTTGCTTCATCATCATCATCACCTTCACAATTATGCAACTGAATACCTACATTCAGTTGCATAATTGTGAATGATGCTTATTTACATTTATATAAATAGGAGGTGTAAATTAATAAAATAATCATCGTTATTTTGATCCCATTCTACATCTTTACCATGACTTTATGCCTAGATCAGGTGAAAGACAGATGAGAGACTTCCTAATAGCAACTACAAACTACAAAATAATAAACTGTGGTTGCCAACGTGTCTGCCAAGTATGACAGCTATGGCAAATATGCCTTACGAGGCAGTCTATGTTCAGCAGTGTACGTTGATAGGCTATAATGATGATGATGTTGATTAGATCTTGTATAATATTTCGCTGGGTTTTTCTAGTGGTTCAATAAAATAGAGATTTCATATCTAAAAGATCTAATATTTTTAGTTTTCTTTAAGGGTTGCGTTGAATTCTGGATTGCATAATGATTGATGACTCAATACCCACTTTATACAAAGTTGCAATTATGTTTCAACAACCCATGCCGTAATGTAATTTAACAATCATTGTGAGAAGTTATATCGCACCCCCAGTAATATATGGGCCTAAAACTAAAAAGTAATTCTTTGGGTATACGTGTTTAAAGATTCTGGATTCTTACGTCCCGGTTTATTTTGTGAATAAAATTCTTATTACTTAAGTTACATATATAAAATTTTGAGGGCTTATTCTTTAAGAGATATTCTATAAGTAGCCAATAAAATAAAATAAAATATTATGAAATTCCATAAATTATAAGCATTTGAAAAATCACTTTCAAGTTAGGCCCATATATCACAAAAAATATAATAGTAATGTGGACCTATTTAGATTTGATTCAGTATATTATTGACATCCATGTCACTGTTTAGTTTACAATCGTAGTTGGTACTCTGTATAACAAAATCAAACCACAGGTCTGAACTTATTGTTTCCATTTTATAAATAAAACATCAGATATGAATAAAAATAATACTTTAATAATCAGCCCAAAATAACAAACAATCTCCTAGTTGTTTCTTTTTATCAACAATTAAACATATGAGCTATTGTCATATTACAATTAAGTCAACATAATATTATTAATAACATTACTACTATAAACTCTTACAAGTAGGTACTTTCCAACTATAAAGCTACATAACTTCCACATGACTATTTATTCTACATTACAATATTTTTCACTTCAGACTTAAAAAAACTATCCATACTTACTTAGCAAAAGTAAACAAAAGCCTCAAAAACTTTACATAACAAAAGTATCAAATATTTAAGATATTTTTCTTATAAATTATAATAAAACAATTAAGTCAACATGATAAGTATGAAAACCTTATTTTAAGGATAAAATCCCTTATAAGTTTCAGCGTTACAGTTTTTATATTAACCTCTCCACTTACTCCATTTTAATCTCAGATAATTACTCATAACAAAAAATGTATAGTATGAAAAATAGACAAAAACCTAATAAGTAGTACTTTTACATAGTAATCAGTCTTGTCTAAACAAAAATATCTCTAATATGTTTAACAATATCTTAAGACAACATGGTATTGTAATAAGAAGCATAGTATGGATCTATCAATTGTTTATCAATGAGATCCTTAAGATCATTCTTTTTAGCAGAACTAAGTTGAAGTGGCTCTAAGTATGCCTTTTGCATAGTTATTTCTTCAATATTTGGCATTCTTTTCCTCTTGTTACGAACATTTACTTTTTTGAAATCATCCTTGTATGAACTTTTGTAATAAAAAGAAAAGGGGTCGTCTTTGGTAAATTGCAATACTTTGATACTATTCCATACTACATTATTTTTCTGTTCGTCAGTATTAAAATTATAGCCCCATTTTTCTTGCAGTTGCTGAAGATCATAAAAAAAATTATGGGTTAAACTATGAACTTTAAATGGGGTGCCAGACTTCCTTGCTCTATTTATAGCTGAAATGTACTGTACTGGCGAGTATATTGGTCCTGTTTTCAGATCTCTAGTGATTTGTTTTTGGATTAAGCTGTGTACGTTATCAGCCTCATTTTGTGTGTGGCCCTTGATAAGATATTTGTGAGTTATCTTATTCAAATTTTTTATATTGGCCACAGCAAATAAATATAAAGAGGTGAGGTACTTATTTTTATTTTGCCCACAGCAATTATCAGATATAAACGTTATGTTAACTTCTTTTTCACCTGCTTCTTCACACACCATTTTCAAATAATGATAAACACAGCTACCTATCTCCGTAGCTCCCCTTTTACCTTGTGTCTCTTCCCAAAAATAGCAATGGACAGTACCATAGCTTTTAGAGATAATATCCATTGTTGACTCATTTTCCTCCTGAATTTTATTCAATTCGGTCATAGTAAAATTATAACTGTTGAGTTTAGATTTGTAATAGAATGCCGAAGTTTCACCATTCGGACTTTGCATAATGGCTTGTACATCGTAGCATACACAAATATTGCATTCATCAATGTTCTTTCTGTCGTTCTTTTTTTCTTTTCTGCTTAATTCCTTTTCTTCTAAATGGGTATCATATTTATTTTTTAGTTTTTGCTTTTGTGACTCGGTAGAATTGTGGTACTGTAGACAAAGATCACATTGATCTTTTTTGGGCTGGTAAAAGCCAAGATTGAATTTGGTGTTAAATGTTTCATTAAACGTGTGATAGAGTCCAGCAGGGCGCGATCTCTCCTTTTGCAAAGCTTCAAAATCTCTAAAGAGCTCTGCAATGCTTTTACTACTGCTGATGTACTCTCTGGAGGTAGATGCTCTTAGGTAGTGTGACTCAATGCGAGGTATAGAGTTGATAAAGCTGATGATGTCATTGATAAGTTCAGCACTTGCAGTTTTATGATGATTGTGTTTACCACGTTGGTCATCCTTTATGAAACCTCCAGTGTTTCTGCTCTCCGCCTGTACGGTTCGAATCATCTTATGTGAAATATCAAGAGTATTAATAAAAAATACTTTACATACCCTTACTTTTTCATCATTTACAGTAAAATAAAATGCATGGTTTGGATTACGCGGGTTCTGGGCATTGGTATACTTGTACTTAGGTGTAATTTTTGTGCTATTAGACAAAATATACATTCTTTGCAACTGTCTATCACCTAATGCCCAGAAGGCGTTAAAGATCTGTAACCTCTTAGAATTATCGATGCGATCACTGCATTTTAATCGACAGTTTTGGCCACAAGGTGGTTTAATATTACGTGCAGGGACCAATTTCTTTGAATGTACAGCTACATAACTTTGACCCAAGTTTCGTTTAATTTTTTGCGTGTTTTGCATCCATTTATTTGGATCTGCTTTACGTTTCCTTGGTTTCATTGGAACATAATCGTCAATAGAATTGCCAGCTGCTGGGCTCGGTGAACGTTGACGATGGTTTTTCTCTTGAATGTAAGAGGGGTCGTCATCACTGAGATCTACGTCACTTTCCTCCGAATGAAGTGGAGAAATTATATATTTACAAACCGCTGTTCGGGGTCGAACCAATGGCAAATCGTTGCAAATTGGTGTCAATATGGATGGTGGAGAAAAATTGTCTCTAGAAGTTCGTGGCTGAGGGTCGGCGTTTTCATCTCTAGATGTACCTGGCTGTGGATCGGCGTTTGTATGTCTAGAACTATCTTGCAGTGGATCGGTGTTTTCATCTAAAGGTCGTCGCCCTGTGTTATGAGCATTAGAAGAACTAGTACTAGATGAAGTAATACTTGAGTTACTGCTGCTAGATCTAGAATTGCTAGAGCTACTAGAGCTGGACGAGCTTGAGCTAGAAAGACGGCGCGTGATAGGTTTCTGAGGAGAGGTCATGACATTTATATTTCCTATTACTTCGTCACTCATCTCCTTACAACTATCATAATCAATTGGTTGCTGGGTAACACAACTTGATTTTTTTTTTGGACTAATAAGTTCTAATGGTGTGTTCTCTTTTTCTTCGTTACAAATCTGAAAAAAAATGACATAAATAAAGTCAAGACAGTAAATTACAATTAATAAAATAAATTACATTAATTAAATTACAAAACTTGAACAAAAAAGACAAAAGTCAAATTACATTTTCAGTTCCCAAACAAAGATCTTTCTCTCTGTCGCAATCCAATCTATGGTGACTTGGTGATTTAAGTAGATTCATTATTCTTCGTGATCGGGATTCCATTTTTCTGAAAACACATTAAATCTAACAATACTTATACCAAAAACAAGAAATACCACCTATCTAGTAAATAATGATTTATATTTCTGTAAGTTTACGATAACTTAATTATTTTACTTTTCATTTAAAAGGCTTAAATTAAAAAACAAATTGAATGTTTCATATAAGTAATGGCCTATTACAAAATACGTCGTCGTAAATAAAAAAAAATTACATACTATAATGAGCAATTATGATATAATTCCCTTTGACATCTTTAGTTTTTGACAATATAGCGATCTATTAATAATTAGACCCAAAAAAATCAATATATTGTGTAATATTACGGCACAACTACAAATTATTCTAAATAGTACAAAAGATTCAAAACAAAACTCACCTGTTTTTTTGTCATATAAGGGCACAAACACGAATTGCACAACGTTTGAACGGTCTTCCTCCGATAAATATGGGCACGTTACTAATTGCGACTGTGTAGCGGTAAGATTAGGAGCTCTCGTTAGAGAGTAGTATGTTCCTTGATTAGGAGACGAGCGGGAAGGGTGTGAGAGGGACACAAATACATTTACTGAGTCATTATTGCCTTTTTTTCTCTCTCTGTCAGCGGCAACCGGTAGATAATTTGGTTTTACGTTCTAAGCGTTAAAAATAACATTTCACAAAAAAATTAACTTGAGCCTTTATATTACTAAGGGTGCGATATGTTAAATGGCGTCAAATAAGTCAAAATTTTTTCATAATACGAATTTTCAAATTCATTCATTTTCAAATCATTCCAAATTTGCGTTCAGAGAATCAAATTTTAATTGCATTTTATGGCTAGAGGACAGGTTATTGTTCTGCCTTGCAATTTATTTTCTCTTTTGTTTCAGTGTTGAAAGACTCTTTTATCAACTACGAGTATGTAAATCAGGACATCCAACATTAGACCCTTTGATACTTACTCCAGATGAAACCATGACAATAAGAGAAGACAAATTAACACATTCACAGTCTCTTGCCACTTTGCTAAATGGTCACAGGTAAGTAAACCCATATCTATAGAAGTTCTGGACTCAGTGGAGAGACATGCTACGAGGCTCATTGGTGACCTTGGTTTGGTTAAAACCAACCTTGTCAGCCTCGAGCACAGGCGCAGAGTAGCCAGCCTCTCGGTATTCTATAGGGTGCATTTCGGTGAGTTTGCTCAGGAATTGCATGCTTTAATTCCTCACTCTCCTTTCCACCATCAGACGACCAGGCGGTCGACGGGTCTTCACACCTTTGTTGTCGATATTCCACGCATTAGAACCAAATGGTTTACTTCGACTTTTTAATGAATACAGCAAGGGAGTACAATAATTTGCCGACGTCTATCTTAACGTCCGAATACGGCGTCTTCAACGGCGTCACACTAAACAGTGTGATTTACCATCTAACTCTGCATCACCACTTACCACCAGGTGGGATTGTACACTGGCTTATAATAAGTAAAAAAAAAGTATATGTTTTATCCCTTGAGTGGTGATTTGGGAAACAAAATTGAATTTTGAAAATTGTAACTTAATAATATGAGTTGTTACACAAACCTCTCTATTTGTGTTTTCTGTGCAATAAATGTAATCATTATAATTAGAATATTTACCCCTTACCCTAGAACAAATTAGGTTATTTACCCTCTGTATAGTTTAATAGTATTAACTTTGAATAAAAGTATTATTTACGGATTTTATCGCGTTTAATTACTTTAATTTATTTTTATTATTATCCCGACGTTTCGGGTGCTTTACAGCACCCATGGTCACGGGGGGACTGAGATGTTTGACGTCCCAATGTCATTGTTAGCCCGACTACCTTCAGTTTTTTGAATATTAATTTTTGGTTCGATTTACGCAAAACGAACTTACAGTATCTTGAAGTCTTGCAGTGGTATGCTTGGGTTTGGGTTTAATTTTGTTAATTATAGGATCCCAAGCAGATGGCAGCACCCAACCATCTTCTCTATTGAAATTAGGATGTTTTTTAATTTCAATAGCCTCACGTATCATCCTTGGTAGGAATCGGTGTTCTTTTGCGAGGACTTGTGGTTTATCAAATCTGATGTAATGGTGGGGACGATCCTGAACATGTTCACAGACTGCAGACTTCCCGGAGCGTCGGTGCTTCACGTCAGCTATATGTTCTTTCACGCGGGTTTTTATGGATCTTTTTGTTTGACCTATGTAAGAGAGACCACATTCACAATCTAACTTGTACACTCCTGCATCTTGTAGAGCGATATTACACTTGACGGATGGTAAAAATTGACTAATCTTCTTCGGCGGCTTGTAGTATGTTTTAATGGAAGCTCGCTTCAAGATGTAGCCAACCTTGTCTGTGACTCCTCTGACATATGGTAGTACAGCAGGCACACGCTCGACTGTGGCCGGCTTCACTCGGAAAGCTAAAGAATTATTTGCCTCTAATTAATTCACAATGGAGTTAGAGGCAAATAATTCTTTAGCTTTCCTAGATGTTTTAGTCATTCGAAATCCTGATAACACTATTGGTCACACTGTGTATAGAAAAAAGACCCATACCAACCGATATTTAAATGGTGAATCTCACCATCATCCTTCACAGTTAGCTACCGTGGGTAAATCTTTGTTTCAGAGAGCACGAGGGATCTGTGACCGATCTTCAGCATGTCAAGCAAGTGTTGCAAGACAACAAGCTTCGGATCCCGCGCCTACGTCACAGTGACCGAGTGAAGCCGGCCACAGTCGAGCGTGTGCCTGCTGTACTACCATATGTCAGAGGAGTCACAGACAAGGTTGGCTACATCTTGAAGCGAGCTTCCATTAAAACATACTACAAGCCGCCGAAGAAGATTAGTCAATTTTTACCATCCGTCAAGTGTAATATCGCTCTACAAGATGCAGGAGTGTACAAGTTAGATTGTGAATGTGGTCTCTCTTACATAGGTCAAACAAAAAGATCCATAAAAACCCGCGTGAAAGAACATATAGCTGACGTGAAGCACCGACGCTCCGGGAAGTCTGCAGTCTGTGAACATGTTCAGGATCGTCCCCACCATTACATCAGATTTGATAAACCACAAGTCCTCGCAAAAGAACACCGATTCCTACCAAGGATGATACGTGAGGCTATTGAAATTAAAAAACATCCTAATTTCAATAGAGAAGATGGTTGGGTGCTGCCATCTGCTTGGGATCCTATAATTAACAAAATTAAACCCAAACCCAAGCATACCACTGCAAGACTTCAAGATACTGTAAGTTCGTTTTGCGTAAATCGGACCAAAAATTAATATTCAAAAACTGAAGGTAGCCGGGCTAACAATGACATTGGGACGTCAAACATCTCAGTCCCCCCCGTGACCATGGGTGCTGTAAAGCACCCGAAACGTCGGGATAATAATAAAAATAAATTAAAGTAATTAAACGCGATAAAATCCGTAAATAATAGTTTTATTCAATGTGTAGTGTTCGCGTAAATTTAAGAAATCATTATTATTAACTTATTACTGAAGCTGCCCTTATTGGTTAAGTTTCACTCTGTTTTCTTTCAAGTGTGGCAAGTTTTTTTTAGAGTTTTAAATATTACCCTATTAAAATGTAAATCAGACAGTGTGATGAAATCATATAATTAAAAAAAAACAATTGTTTTTCTTAATTCTTATTGAAATTAAAAACGGAAAAAACCCATTACTAGATATTGGTGTAAGTAGTTAGGTTGTACCAGTTCTGGCGCACTTGTAGTTAGGTTATACCAGTTCTGGCGCACTTGTAGAAAGGTTGTACCAGTTCTGGCGTACGACGTTCGTCGACTCACAATCCTAAAAAAAAATAAAAAAAAATAGAAAAAAAAGGTTTTGGCATGCTCTGATCACGAATCTGCGGTCCATTTTTGCGTAGGATGCACGGTTCCGGAGATGTGCAGATCAATTAACTCTTATCTAATTGATATCCGCTGCGAGCCTCAACCGTCATTAGCGCTCCATTGTCCTTATCTACTTATCTATTGTTGATTGACTACCGTCATTATCTATTATTCGTCAGCGTGTGGGTCGGCTTATGCTATTGTATTATACTCCTTTGTTCCTATCTACAACACTAATCTGAATCATCAATAAAACACATTACCTAATTTTGTTAAAATTTTTATTTATAAAATACAAAATCTTATTATTACTTATTATCTATAAAATAGGAGCGAAACATCTCATCCACTAACATATCGTTGTACAATGTGTTCTCTGTAAATATACTCGTAAAACTACGCATTGAACATCCCTGAAACTTATATAGCAAATACATTAAGCAATATTTGCCACAAACTGAAGTCCTATCAACATTCCAGTTCCATCTTTTAAACACATTACCTAATTTTGTTAAAATTTTTATTTATAAAATACAAAATCTTATTACTTATTATCTATAAAATAGGAGCGAAACATCTCATCCACTAACATATCGTTGTACAATGTGTTTTCTGTAAATATACTCGTTAAACTACGCATTGAACATCCCTGAAACTTATATAGCAAATACATTAAGCAATTTTCGCCACAAACTGAAGTCCTATCAACATTCCAGTTCCATCTTTTAAACACATTACCTAATTTTGTTAAAATTTTTATTTATAAAATACAAAATCTTATTACTTATTATCTATAAAATAGGAGCGAAACATCTCATCCACTAAAATATCGTTGTACAATGTGTTCTCTGTAAATATACTCGTAAAACTATGCATTGAACATCCCTGAAACTTATATAGCAAATACATTAAGCAATATTCGCCACAAACTGAAGTCTTATCAACATTCCAGTTCCATCTTTTACAATTTCGTACAGGTGCCCGTCCATATGAATCAAAATATTCACCGACGTCATTCGTACCGATATATAAAGCTACCCAATGTGACCCTGGTTTATCATCTGTACCCAAATTGCATATTACCTAGTCAGGTCATAAATTCTATCACATGTTTAATGTAAAATAATTGAAACAAGTTTATT